GCCATTACATTTTTAATTATTCCCACAAAACAAAATCACCCCCGTAAAGTGATTTTTTCGAAGTCCGACTGCAGCCATTTTTCAAGTGGCGACCCTCAACTTTCTCGGGCACTTCGAGACCATTTTTCAACCGTAGTTTTTAGCCATCCTGCTCTCATATGGAAGCTCAAAGAAAAGAAAGCTCAAAGCTCATCGAGTTTGAAGATGCTTTCAAATGCAAATTCTCCAAACCCAAAAATCTACTAGCAAAAAATGAGAAAATGGGGTTGTCCACTTTTGACGCGCCACGAAGAGTCGTTAGAGTATTTTCCAAATTTCTCCTAGCGGAAAATTGAAAATGCTTTCGGCAAAGTCCAAAATCCCGAAAATCTACTCGCAGAAAATGAGAAGATGGGTTTGTCCACTTTTGACGCTCCATAATAAGTGACGACATACGATTTTGGAATAAATGAATATTTGAATACATTTCACAGGCACAACCAATCGGTGCATGCATCGCAGAATAGGTCTATGTCAAGTGGCACACGCCCTGATGGAAATATGAGAGACGCGGAGCAGCTTGACTCAGTTGCAGCATCATACAAAGTGCACCCACCATGCGTGTGTGCCCTGATCTCACATCGTAACTGCATCGAGCAGTAGACGTACAGTACCGTTTTCTTGGCGGCACAGACTCGCTTGGATCACTTTTCCCAGCCAAGGCTCCTTTCAAGTTGCACACGGCTGGCCTAATTACCGTCATCATGGCGATCATGCAGAGATGCTGCTGTTTTGATAACGTCCGATCTGGCTCCATCGCATCCGCGATATACACTCTGGTAAGAAACTCAAGGTGCAGTTTTCAGTTCAATGATTAATTGGTCATGCTTCCATTAGCAAGTATTAAATGTACCTGGATCCAAAGCCCCTTGTCCAATTTAACTGTAACTTCTTGTCTGGTGATTTTTTTTTAATGTGTGCTTTTTTACGAGTTCATTTTCGCAAGCCCCGGACTCTTGGAACTGAACCGATTTTTTTAAACAATCTGTAAATTATTTCACTCTTGTAGTCTTTTCGATCACTGTTTATTATGATTCATCACGTTATTTTATGATTATTATTATTTTTTTTGCATTTGTATGAGCAACACTAACGGGACTTCACACTGCTGTTCCCCAATGCATTTTTTTGTTAGTTATGACACATTAAAACTGGGAAAATGAAAGACTGAGTGGTGTGGCCGAACGAACATGGGGTAACTGACTCTTTTCCTTCCTCCCTGTTCTGACATTCGATTACGTGTATACGCTATTTTTAATACGCATTCATACCGATCAGTCAGAGTAACGCAGTTTGCAAAGTACGTCAAGATGTAAGGCAAATTGCCGTAGTTGCAGTTCCACGAACAGTGGCGTCAAACAGTGAGTTGGATCAGACATTGGGCGACCAGTAGCAGAGCTAGAAATTTGCGACGCGGTAGGGGTTTATATACATGTACATGTACACTACCCCCAGAACTGGGGGTACATGTAAAACGGGGTTTTCAAACACCCCGCGCCCAAATGAACTGTTGCACGTTTGGGGTATGCCCCTGGTCATCTTCCGTCAGCGCACAATTTCAGTCTGTCGTCCCGTGTGCACATGTAAAGAGGCAAGGGCGTCAGCCCTTCCTGGATCGGAACTAAATTAGTGTGAAGCGCGAAGCCCCAACGGGAAGTGAGGCTTGGAACCCAAAATAGTCGGGGACCATCCCAATTTAATAGATTACAATGAGTAAAACAGATTCTGGGAATACAATATATTAGAAATGACTTGCCTGTGAATAAGGCCTATTGACGATTGGTGCAGATAATGATGCTATCGTGAGTGTGATGCTAGTTAATGAATATAGCTGGGGGGGAGGCTGACAGTAATGACGTTGAAGATGACTGAATCTCAAAGTGCTTGGCAAGCTATGGGGATGATTTTAAATAATACACTGACATTTCTGTATGACTAAAAGGTCTGAAATAAAAGCCACACCGTTACTGAAAGCTGCATTTTTGTTTGTTATCACAGGCCTATGCCTTGTTATGTTTGGGGTATTCAGGCTGGAAAGTCGCACCACGTGCTGGTAAATATGTCCTGTTTCCTGTGCGTTTTGTACCTTTGAAGTGAATATTTTCTGACAATAAACTTTACTTGGCGTAAAGCTTACTTTACGAAAAGTATGAAAATATACCGAGGGAGGCAAAATAAAACCAATAACATTACAATGAGAAGAAGCAAAACGAAACCAAATTGAAATCATCTTTTCCAAAGAATTCCTCGCAGTTTTTCCGATTAACATTTCACATTATATTTCTTTCCCTTCCTGCATACTTCTTCTGAAGGCGTCCCTTGTGAAGCGATCCTAGACAGCATATATGGCATGGCTCTGGTCAGAAATATCGCATGCACCCACGAAATCTGCTAATAAGCGACTTCATTCCCAGCCATTTACATGTTAAGTTTCCGTATCCAGCCGTAGCAAAGTAGTGCACGCACGGCCAATAATGGTGTTCAGGCGAACGCGGCGAAACAGTATGGTCACCCAATAACCCACTGGAGGATAAGAGGTCACGCGAGGCCACATCAAGTTTCTCTAGGCATTACTGGGGGGGGCAATCATGAGTTTTGTATCAGTCGCTAAAAGCACATAATCCCGGTTTGTTTTTCTTTACTGACAAATGTATCAGAATGGGCGTACATATATTATCGAGACACTGCGAGTTTCACCATGGACTGTTTCTGGCTGTCGTTCCTATGTGTGATGGTGATTGCTTCTGTACTTGTCCTTGTGGGCGTATCCCGGGTGAGTAGTAATTGTGTCATGCTTTAAAGTCAATTGTTCACTTTGTTTACGTATTAAAATTCAGCCGAGATATATACAGTGACAAGGGATAAACATTCATCTACCAGTGTACTAGCAATTCTGCTGATCAACTTTACACGTATTGTCCTCAGCATACTTGACCTAATGAAAGTGGATCAGAACGGCTTGTTTTGTCTGGGTCTCTGTGTCTCTTGTTTGTGTGTGTGTGGGGGGTATCCCGTTAGTTATGGACACCAGATTGGTAGGAGATTCCTTCGCCCAATTGCGTTTAGGTCTCCTTAATTGCAGGACACGCGCGGATTGCTCCTGGCGTATATGATCGTGATGCCGATCATGATCCTGCTGCAGTGTGTGCAGTGCATCTTGATCATCGTCATTCTTGCTCAGGTAAGTTGCAAGCAGGTTAACATGCAGCTCTCTGACATCGTTATCCAGTCTTTATACTGTTTGGTGTCAGGGAGTCTTTTTCAAGTACGCTGCTACCCGTCAGGCAATTCATGCTGGTACTCCCGAACTGCTAATTGGATACTGGGTCCCAATTAAACTGTTCATGCTTTTCACACGACTGGGCGACGACTTTGCGATCGTCACTGTCATGACGCAAGAGTGTCGAAGACTGCACCCCTTTTACCCTCCGACGCAAATGGTCTGTTTTTAGTTGTTTGCAGCGTCATGCATGCGGCGTCACACCGGTCATGATTATTGTGGTGTTGACCCCATATTCCCTTTTAATGGCATTTAAATTGATTAGTGGGTGTCCTCTATGGCTTCTGCAACTACCGCCAAACCAAGGGTGGTCAGAGTAAGGTCGGAGTACCTTTTTTCAGATACCGTTCAGTCCTTCCGGATTTGAGGGGGGTCACAGCCACAGTCACACAATGGCCAAGCAACAATCAGCCCCCCCCCACCATGAAAACTCCCAGACACGTGTCTACAAACATCAGAAAGACCCGACTCCCTTTACTGGGTCGCCGGCTTGCCCAGCCGCCGTCTATTTAAGTTATTTCAATGGTTAGTTGACGGAGATGTTTATCAGTTGAATGGCACTTGGCACTTTTAAGGTGGCCAAACCAGGTTGTTTCAGCATGAACAGAGGTAGGATGGCATAGGAGGTGATTGTATTTGGCCGTAAATTTTTACTAAGAAAAAAGCCAAAACGACGTCCATAGGTGACACAGGGTCCAAAATTAAAAACCGCTTGCAAAATAACGTATCAGCAAGCTACGTTGGCAACATCTTAAAGTAACGGGGCTGTACAATATTTGACAGTGTGCCGTCATAAAATTTCCTTAACAGAGTGGATACGGCTCGGGCGTCGCTGTGTCAATTATTGTGCTCATCTTCATCTTGCTTTTTACCTTACTTGATGTGAGTATTCTACACTCGCCCACTTCTTCCAGAAATGAACCTTTTTTGATCGAGAGTATATCTTTTTAGGGAAATTTCACCATAACATCAAGCATTTACTGTATTGCGAATTTTATTGACATTAATTATGCATTTTGGGTTTTTTCGACAACTATATTGTGTTTATTTCATCGACAAACACTGTTTAAATCAGCAGCAGTAACAACTCTAACGAGATTTACAATGATTGATATAAATGCACTTAGACACAACAGAGTTGTAATGTACTCATTTTCAAAATTTAAACATGCCCGGATCCTCTAAAAAGGGTGTATAAACTTGCAGCCACTTCATTATTCAGTCAAACTGCACGAATCGCATCCGCTTGTTCATTAAGTCTTTTTAGTGCTTTCATAGGGTATCGACATCAGTGCAAACATGAAGTGTAACGTATGCCCCAGATTGCAATCTCATTCCCGATTTTTGCGGTACAGGTGTTTTGCTTCCTGTGTGTGGTGTCTCAGTACCAGGAGCTGAGGGATGGGCGTGGTCGCATGCAAGACGTTATGGCAACCAGGGTAATAACCAACTAACAATCATTGAGGCATTTGCTCCAAAATCGCATTGCTGAAAGAAGTTGCACCTTCGTAATCATTTTTTAACCTGCAAAGTTCTGTAGCTGCACTTGTGAAGATGCGAAATGCCCCAAGACCGGGAAATGTTTACATCGGGCGTTTCAGCGTCGACACAGCAACTGAAGCTTGACAAAGCTAGGCCCATCCGAATCGGTTTTTGTAGTTATCACCTGTCACAGTGATAGGATTTATGAACAATTCTAAACAAAACTTGAGTAAAAACGTTTCACTCGAAAGCCCAATTCTTCGTCAATAGCCGCATTTCGTGTCCGCCATTTCACAACACCCATTTTTTCCCCTCTCTTCTTCTTCTCCCACAGGCTCAGGGTCCAACAACCGTCATCACCACATCTCCCCCAGCGGGTAGCAATGTTGTTATTGCTTCCCCGGCTGGCGCTCCACCTGGCTACCCTCCCCAGCAGGGCTACGCTCCCCAACAGGGCTACGCTCCCCAACAGGGCTACGCTCCCCAACAGGGCTACCCTCCCCAACAGGGCTACCCTCCCCAACAGGGCTACCCGCCCTTGCAAGGGAAGCCACCGTATCCCGAGAAAGTTTAAGTATGTTGCCCATGGGATTTGAGCAGCACCCATTGAGATAAATGTTGAAAACGTGTTCGTGTGTCATGTACGGATGCATGACACAATCGTGGTGTTCACAAATTGTTGCTGCATTCCTAAGGAAAAGTAGATGAAATGTAACTGCACGAAGAAAGGCCTGATGTTTCATTTCAGTACTTAGAACATTGTATATGACAATAGTCAATGCACGTTTTTCCTATGTAGACAAACGGGCTTTTTAAAAAGCTGGAGTAAAATAGAAGTAGCGTAAAGTGTACTTTATAATATCAATATGATAGGTTTCAGATTAGAAAAGAGAGTGCTTTAATTAAATGCGAACAAATAGGTAGGATTCGTGTGAAACAAGTTTGGCACCAGTTTTCATTTGCTTTTGAGTTTGCATACGGCCTTGCTGAGAAGTAGACCAGTACTCTCAGATCCTTCAATGGAACATGTTTTGTCAAACTGTCCATAATATTATAAGAAAACTATTCGACATTTCTTTCTAGATACATTGAAAAGTGCACTCTGTGATTTAACATTGATCATCATGCTCTTCCCAGTAACGAGGGAGCGCTGTCGCTGTAATGCACTGTACTGTATAGTTTCCGGGTGAATCCAAATTTCTTACTGAAAATCTTTGTGGAAAACTTTCCTAACTGACTTGCTGTCATGCACATAGACATCCACATTATCTTCAAAGTATTTGAGAGAGCTGATTATCGTAAACTCTGGATAATGGAAAGGGCAGAAATAGCTCTACCAATGAGGATAACGCTACACTTTTGCTCAGATAAAATGCGACTTATGTCGTCCGTATGTGAAAAAAGCAACACTGGAAATCAGGTTAAGTAGGCCACAGGATGTTAGAACTGCCTTTAAAAAGTACACTGTATGTGCCTTTGAATTTAAAGGAAACGGTACCCATGAATGCAAGCAAAGTAACGACAACCACAAGGTAGCTCTTGGTGCCGGAACCACAGACGAGCGTAAGACTGTACGAATATGACATTGCAGTCATTATGTTAACCGAGCATCTGATATTATTTATTATAGTATTATGAGCATATAACGTTATTTAGTATACATGTATAACTGACAGAAGGCCCTTGCAGGACATCAGAGTCGAACGTTTTGTAGCGTCCACTATGGATTTCTTTGTGAAGACATTCATCCTTGACTTTTTATTACAAATTTGCAAAATGTACAGAACCGAAAACTAGTTATGAATATCTGCCACTTTTTTTTTACTGAATGCAGTAAAAATATATATTTCGATGGGAATGGCTACAAGCAATACAACAAGTGCTGTATTTGCAAGAGTTTTAGCCACAATTGTATATCCATTGGCGGCGGTGCTGTAAATGTTTCTTCATGCAAAAGTAGTATACATCCGTGATGTTAGCAAAATTTGGCAGTACTGTTTACCTTTTGCTATTTTGCCATTTTTCATGTACTGTATGCTTACATGCTTAATAGAATAAATACATATTCATTTGTTCTGCCACATCTGGGCATTTGACTAAGACTAATTAGTACAAGCAAATCCACGTTTCAATCTTTCAAAGAGTTAAGGCACGTAAGTATATTTGCATGATTCGTAAACTGCCAATATGTTTCATACACTTCGCTAGAGGCGGTCCCTGCATATCATCGTGGGATCAATGGAACGGATCTTGTCATTAAGAGAGAAACACTGTGAGAAGTATGGCTTTTCAAAAACACTCTGCAAACAAACTGCACTGTATGATACTTTGAGAGCCCAACTACACCATTTGCCATGATGACTGAACTATTATTAATCAGTAAAAATAATTGTACCTTCGATCTACAGATATCTTGACCTTTTTTGTAGCGCTTTTGTACTGATTATTTAGCTTTGAGATCATTTACGCTCGCGCGGCTAGCTGCAAATGGAACAAATATGTCCAAACAATCGTGAACATTTAAATGAGTCATCTGGGGTCCGACGTGTGACATTGTGGGATATCATTCTAAAGTAACCAAATCATGTGCCAGGATGTAACAGGGACAAGGACAAATTGGACCCCTTAAATAAAGAATGACCCAAATGTCAGTTTTTCTGTATACATGTACACGTACTGTACATCAATATTGTAATTGTAAGTTCTTCGGTGCTATGAGGATTTCTGCACAATCGAGGTATTCAATGTATAAGCCATGTTTGCGCCCCTTCGGAAAAAAAACTAAATGCAACCGTTGAGATGTTACCCGATGTCAGTGCAAAAGAATGTTATTGGGAATGATATACTGCTTTCGTGATAGATAGTGCATGATAATCGGGCTCTGGTGCGTGTATAGATGTGCTCCAGAGGCTCTGCTGAATTTCAGGCACACTGGAGGGGATAGCATAGTCACAAAACACACACCGAACAGCTCGTCTTTGGATCTTGCCAATTTTTGCCAAGCTTCCCCAGAGTGGCTCTGATATAATGATGCATCAATACACACACTCGAGTAGGGGACGCGGAAGGTTTTTTGTTGGGCCACACCCACAGTTGGATAGATTTTCCCCAGTGAGACTTAAAGACAAATACTGTGGCGGGTTATAAATGTTTACCAACGAGAGTAAATACCCTAGGATCACCGCTATACTACATGGTGAACAAGACTCGAATAGAGATGCAGAGTTACAAAGTTCATTGAAGTGTAAGTTCGGTTTTTCAAGATACAGTTATGAGTAAACGTATAGTTATTGGCGTAAATAGCCCGAGTACCTGAAACCACCATTAAAACAAAACGGCAACATGTTCAAGAGGCTCGCAGATGATGAAAGTAATACGGAATACGGTACTGTAATTTGCTTGGCTTTAGAGTAACCAATCCACCTTTTGTTAAATACGGGAACAATATCTGACGATCCTCGATCATTAGGTATTTCAGACACTTTGAATACATGTATCTGTTGGAATATTTCATTCGACATTTAACCAGATCTATAGGTTTATATTTGCACATGAATTGAATTTACCCTTATGGTTGCCGAAGTTCAAGTACACTGGTCGCCATTTTCAGCGTCCATAAAGCGCTGAATAGAACATCTTAGTTATGCTGAATGACGCCCGTTGATGGGGGCAAGGTCCACTTTGACTGCACTGCATATATTTTAGCTACGTGCAAAACAACATATTTTAAGCAGCCATTTTCGATTTACCCAGTCCCTTGCCCACAGTTGTGCAAACACGCATTTGAACGCTCGCTTCCTACATCGTCATGGCAATTATGCAGAGATGTTGCTGTTTTGACAACGTCAGAAGCGGCTCGACTGCATCGGGAATATATTCCATGGTGAGTACAATCAAAGCCAGTGACGTAAAGTGAACTATAAACTTGGCCACGAACAAGTAACCTCCCAGTCCTCATGGTAATAATCACAGTTAATTAATAAATGACATTCATGAATATGATCAGTCGCGTGTTATACACCAGTACATAAATCTTGCCACAATGAAACAGCATGAATATAACCAATCAAGTTCATTTAAAGGGGTGAAAATGCGGCAAACACGGTCAATAAAAATATTTGAGGGTTTTAAAGGTAAAATACACGGATACTTGATTCGACAATGGACATAAATGAGAGGGTATTATGGTAATATGACAGTGACTTGAAAAGTCCAGAATTGTATCCTAACTTATGTTCTGAACATAAGAAAATAAGTATCTGTTAATCATTTCAGACATTACATGTCACGGAATCGAAGTATCATGATACCAGTCACATTGAGTGGCGTTTACTACATCACTGTAGTACAATAGAGCGGCATTGGGCGGAACATCATTCATCGTACTTGTGGGGTACTAAACGGTACCCCGGAAGAATTTCACCAAACTGATATTTGGAATTTACTCAAAAATAAGGAAGTTTCAAAGTGTGCTTATTTTTTTTTCGTGAATCTGTGCTTCACGAGAACAAAGTAAATTTCCCACTTGGCATAGGATACACGTAAAGGTGTGTGCGTGGGCGGAGGGGAACCATGACATGCATTACTGACATAATCTCATTTTGTGAAGAGGTTTCATCATGTCACCATTCTCCGCGTGTCAGCTTTAGGGAGATCGTTCATTGGTCAATGACTGAGCGCAGGTGAATTAATGAAACATCGCAGTCCATTAGTTTTAGTGTCAATAGTTGTTTCGTCTATCGGAAATTCCTCAGTCCCTCTGTAATTAGTCATGCCATGCATTTTACCCCAGATCTATGCTTTGATTTCCTTGGGATATGGAGGATGGCAGATATGGGAGTACAACCAATATGGTAAGACTGCTCGTCCATCTCTATTTTCTCCTGGACCAGTACATATTGCACACAAGCTGTTTTCTAATTAGGCCGATAGCAAACAGCTTTTCTTGTTTTAATTATTTCTGGACAGTGGACTGTTTCATGGTGCGGTTTTAATGCACCTGCGATAACCTTTCATATAAAAAATCTTGAATATACATGTATATGGGTTCAAAGCGAGAGATTTAAATGTTTCTCCCAACTTGCTTTACAAAACTTCTCTTTATAACACAATATTACGGTATGTACATATAGTAGAACGTCGCTAACACGATATTTATGCATTCATTTTTAGCATTAACTTTAGCAGGGGCAAACCCAAGATTTCTTTTTGGGGGTGGGTGGGCGGGGAGGATGTTCTTTTCTTTTATACGATTGTTGCTGACAGGCGAACATAATAAGTAATGTATTACATAATATTACTGATGCACTAAACCTGTATTCACGTGGTATGATGATATAGGGGAGAAGACCTTTTTCTCGTAATAACCCTTGTTGGGTGTCTTCTTTTTTTCATTACTATGATCTGTACTTTATTGCATTCGTTTATCTGTGTGATGATTTATTTTTTTATTTTATTTCACTGGATTTGTTTCACTCCATTGACCGCCCTACCACCTGATTGCTATAGGTTTTTCAAATTTATTTCAATTTGATCGTAGAGCAACCCCAACCCTCTGGACCGCGCTCGGGGAAGTTAAATACTGAATTTTTTTTTTGTTGGTGTAATGCTTCCTCTACGCGTGTCTAACGTGTGTTAATTGTTTCTGCTGTACAAAGGTCTATCCCAGACTAACGTTGCCTTCATTGTGAACTGCTTCGATCTTGCATTGATGTGCTTGGTTTTCTTTTCCTCCATTCTGCTTCTTGTGGGAGTTTCAACGGTAAGATCCGTAGTATGAATTTAACTCTCTGTATGGGTAACACCCTCCCCATAAAAAGTAAATGGGCGGTCTATTTTTTTGGGGGGGGTGCCTTGAACATGCAAAATTTGGTCTGTCATTCCAAGCAACGATAAACCCATCGGTACATTAGTTTGCAAATGAAGGAGCAAATTCGGGCGGCCCTTTGCAAGTTGTGACCTAAAATTCCCAGACTGCTTCATTCAAGTGTTAATAACAGTTCTATTTAAATTAACTCAATCGTTTCTTCCTTTTGTGGGTTTGCCTACACAGGACAAACGTGGCTATCTGATACCTTACATGATTGCGATGCCCATCGTGGTACTGATGCAATGTGTGTCACTTGTCTTATTCATCATCATTTTGGTCCATGTACGTATTTATATGACGTCAATTTGATTTTGTGTGCCGTACCCTTCAAGCTTCACATTCGACGGCCTATTTTTATTATTCACGAATACCTCAGACATTTTAGCCATGGTCGAGAGCCCGTCACGTAGCCGGCCTTAAACTTAAATGTCTCCCTTTGGGAGACATCAAAATGTCTCCCTGAGGGAGACATAATGCCCAAGCTAACAGAAGGAGGCCGAATTTTACTGTCAAAATTTTGAGATATGATAGATAAGGGTCTAAATTGAAAACATACAAAGTTTAGTTCAGATCAGATTAGGGAATATTTAATTATGGGACAGTAAAGTTTGTGTACCTTCTCACGGGAATGTCTCCTAAGTGACCCATTTTCATTCATTTATTCCGTTTTTGGTGCATGTCAGAGCAAGGGGGTGTTGATGCCTCATCCCTCTCTTTAGATGCACACCCTGGAACCAACACGCGTAGATATTCCATGTCCATTTCAATATCATGATTGACAATGACAACTCATGTCTTTCTTCTACCCTTTCCCCATTAAAATAGCCTTCGTACTACGTGAACACTTATGCATATGGCTTTGGCATCGCTCTTCTGGTGTTTTTCACTCTTATGGATGTAAGTATACTGTTTATCTATACTGTAACGCAAAAGTGGAGTACGTATCTTGTGCAACACTGGAATTCTAAATACAATAATTAGAGTATTTAGGTTACAACAAAATGATCTACGCTTTTTGAAGGGGAAGAAATGGCAGTATAATTTACCTTGATAGGCTTATCCGGCAGATGACCAGCGGAGACAATGATAAACCCGCCGCGAGGATCTGTGGAGAAGGATGGGGGAATTTAAATTGACAATTTGGTCATCTGTGGAGATATCTTGGCTTGTTAGGATCATAGGTTATCCCCATCAGCAGAGCTTGAAGTTTATCATGAACCGTATGTACAAAGTATCATAGAAATTCAAGATTTTGGGTTACGGTCACTCTTGAAGTAACGACAAACGAGCTCCACTGCACCAGCTTGGAGGAAATCACAACTCACCACATCTTACTTCCAGTTTTAATTGATGTCTTTTCTTCTGACTTAGGGGATTTGTTTCCTTTGTGTGGTGTCTCAGTACCAAGAGTTGAGGGATGGGCGTGGCCGCATTGAGGACGTACTGGCAGCCAGGGTAAACAAAAACTGATAACTGGTTTTAGAGTTGCTTCAGTGTGACTAGCACTGGCTTATATTAATGACTGGGACGCAAGTACGCGTCTGGAGGACTGCTTTATCAAATTTTCTGGCTTTTCTTTTTAAACGTCAGAAATTCGAGATCATCTTAAGTTCCCATTTCTCCCACCGTTACATTTTCTTCTTCTTTGGTTTAATACTTATGCACTTACACGTTCAGAGGTTGTTGGTTCCCAAAATAAACGAGAAAAATCAACCATATCATCTTCTTGACAGCGACACACTACCTTCATCTCCACAACTGCCCCTACCGTCGGTGGCACTGCTGTTATTGTGACTCAACAAGGTAGCGCACCATTGCAGGGCTATGGAGGCTATACGCCTCAGCAGGGCTACCCATCCCACCAAGGCTGCCCACCACAGCCAGGCTACCCACCCCAGGTGGGTTACTCTCCCGCAGCCCAGCAGGGATATCCTCACTCTCCCCCTCAGGGTGTCGAAAGCCCACCTGCCTACTCTGAGAAAGAGATGCCCTACAATCCTTAAGTACCATCAGGGTTCAACATCAGTCTTCCAAATTATCAAGTGCAGATTAATACTACACCAGTCATAAAAACCGCACATTACCTTAAGTTTTTAGGCCATAAATTGAAATCAGCGAAGTAAGAAAACATTTCTTGGTTTCATTTTAACGAAATGGCAAATTTCACCAAAACTGTCAGCAAACAAGAACAAAGTCTTTGTGAATTATTTCTGCAGTTTTCAAAACCACTCTTTGGCAATCTTCGGTAATAATTTTGCACATTTTCTGGTTTAATTTAAAGCTGTAAATACGGTCACCTCTCGTCGCAAAAATACCTTTGCAAAGAGAGAATTTTGAAGAAGGGCTTTACTATAAAACGTGAATTTCTTTTTTTAAGGTCCTTTTCAAACATGTAAAGTTCTTGTTGTAATCAGGCAATTTCGGCAAATCCCGGCAGCTCAGTCTTAAGACCGAACACAATAATCCAGGGGATTTAATCGTGTCCTCAGAAGTCCTTGCAAGTTGGATACTGGTCGCCGTGTTTTGTGTTAAGTCACACATTGTTCAAAATGGACACTGTCAAAACCTTGTCGTTGTTCTTCCACGCCCTAAGTACATGTGAGCTATGAGTTTGGACCGGATGGATTTATTTGATCAGTGGTTGACTAGATTGTAAATTATACTCTGTGACAATCGTACCCCTTCACGTATGCTCTGACACTTCCCTTTTCATGATTTAGAGGCAGTAGAGACAGCGAGGAGGAGGCCTTTCCCAGGTTAAACTTCCTCGAAACTTTCATTCTGTGAATTGTGTAAAGCACTCTTTAGTCAGTCAACCCGTTATCGTCTGTAACATTTCTGGTTATTTCATCGTTCTATGGAGCTGTCATCTATTGTTTGTTCATGAGTAAATTAATTTGTGTGCGTCTGGAATTTTTAAACTGGGCCATCCTTGAATTACTACTGTTTTAAGTCATACAGATGGCTTTTGATGACCAATATTTTTTGGTTATATTTTCAGCAATTAACTAAACCAATGAGAAGACAGATTTTCTTTTCAGTTTTATGCTGTCTGAAAATGAAGATGAAGAATTTTTTTTATTGACTACAGAATTTAAACGGAGAAATTTCTCCTTGGGAGCAATTCATAAAAAGGTCAATAATGAAGAAACTTTAACGGGGAGGCCAAAGCAAATACAAAGCCATAAAAATCATATTGTCAGCTTGCAAGCGCAAGGGAAAATCACACAAAGTCTGTATTTTCTATTGCCTTTTAAGTCTTTGAAAAACCATTGCCGTAAAAAAGTTCATCTTTGTCGAAAAGAATTTATTTCCTACCGTTACAGTGACTAAATATTGAAATCCCGTCTTAAACTAGATGGTTCAATCCACGACCAAAGAGCCATAATGTCGATGTCATACGGCATTCAGGACTGACTGTGAATCCATGTAGTGGTATTGAAAATATTCAGAAAAAAAAGCTTAAAGGATAATATTCGCCAAAAAATCTCTCGTATAATTTTGCCCTCCAACGTTTAAATCACGACCCATTGTACTCTAGGAGAGAGTTGCACTGCCTCAATTTTGCCATGGAGATCCTGAAGAATGATAGTGGTAAATCTTAATCTTTATTTCCCCTGTCTAGATCCACTTGCCGTGGTAGCATCCTCCGGAATTCAAATAAAATCTCTTCTAGTCCTGCTTAAAACTTCCCATTTGAAGAATAGCCCAATTCCACATTACATCAACCTTATTAATTCAAATTAAGTGTTTTTTTTTAATTTTCCAATACGTTTTGTTTTTAAGTCTTGTGTCAATTTAGTTGTTTTACAATGCTAATATGTAATGTTTTTATGTACCGTAAATGTTATATCTTGTTTTTATTCATCCTGATATATTTTATTGTAAATCATGTACAATTTGACCAGTGGCCACTACACATGAATTGATAAACCAATAACAATAACAATAATAACAAATAAACTGTCCAATCGGAACAGACAGGCCTAGTATATTTATTTTTTTAAAGAAATTTTTTTAATGAAATCAAATAATAAAGAAAAAAAGAAAGAAAAAAGAGCAAACTTCGCTCCTCGTAGTTTGCAATCCTTCACGGTCCTCCAATCATGAAAGCATTGAAGAAAGACCGGAAAGTTACGGCTGACTAAATCTGGAAGGGACTGAAAAGCCGATTTGAAAAAAAAAGAAATTGGTCATGGCGGCTGTATCCACTTCCTGTGGGTGTGTGTTAATCCAGGACGATGCCAGCTGATTCGGACGCGCATATGTACTTGCTTTCGAAGTACAGGACATGTATATGTTTTCAACCCAATCATTTCCCGAACCTCTGAAAACAGCCGTAGAATGCATGACACATGAATTCTAGCCCGGCAAGCAATCCTCAACGTCACGACGTCAGATTCCTTGTTGGAAAATCACCTATACGCATGCACACAAGCTAGCAAGAAATCTTATTCAGACTCATGACCCACAATAAAATCCAGGTTCAACAGAAAGTGATATCAAAATTGTGTATGTTTATTATACTTCAAACAAAAAAGGGACATGTGTGACCTTTTTATCATATAGATAACTTTTTGGAGTATGACGTGAGATTCTATGACATCCGGTGTTTGACATCTTACTGTAAAGCCAACCCTCGAACAAGTCCTCGTTCTTTCATCAAGTTAGTTGAATCTGTTAGTGTACAGTGCAAAACAATCAAGGTTCAAATTCAACGGGACATATAAAGACGCACCCAAATCAACTAAATGACACAAGTGAGGACTGACAACTCCCTGAAATTTCTATGAATGCCTACTGGTTGCTGTGCACGTTTGTTCGTGCCCTTAAATAATTTGCCCACCTCACACCTTGGGCTGTACAGGCGTAATGAGATGGGCTAATTACTTAAGGATGCATACATGACGTAACCTATTCGAGTCGTTATTGGTTTAGGGGCAACATTCCACGCGCGCGTATCAGGTACATGCGCGCTATTACATGTACGTATTCAGACAGAAAGTAGATAGAAAGATACTTGGGACGCACTTCCTTCACAAAATTTTGAGAAAAGAATTTACCCATACCCACCACCCATACGGGGGCGACGGGAAAATGCTCACGTTACCAAGTCTGCTTCCCTGTGGCTTGGTTGGTCTATAATTACGTGCAGCCTTCACGCCTGCGAACACGCAGAACGCTTCGCATATGTTAAACACAGTATTGTACGTCGACTCCACGCGCGAAGTCATATGGACATGAGCGATCAGGCTTGCATTCCTTCTGCTCATCGGCTGAGCGTCCACGGCGAACTGAAGGGTTAAGGAAAAGTTGAACAAGTGAGTGACGGTCGATGGGAAGCCGGCCAGGTTAGTGATTGCTTCCAAGTATGGTTCGTGAGCGATATGGCGACGAGGAGCAATACTGCCATCTACGACGAGATATGCCACCCTTTCCATCAGAGTGTATGGCAGCTTTTTCGCAACTCGGAAATTCTGAACATTTAAGTTGGTGGAAAACTTTGATTCAAGCGAAATCATGGCGATATTAAATAGATGTTTGTGCTTTGACAATGTCCGCACTGGCTCCTTTGCAAGTGGAATTTATACCCTGGTAAGTCCCAGTACTCAAAATTCTTTTGTTTATGTATTGACGTAGGCCCTCTGGAAGATCGAAATCTGTATATTCATGCAGGGCTATTAGGCAGTAAATCAAAGTAACATTGAGGCTTCTCGACCTGCCAGGGCAATTGCATTTCGGCTAAATTTTTTTATATAAATAAAACTTCAGTTTAATAAAACGTAATATACCGCTGTTTAACCCTATAGGCCCCTAGGCATTTTTACAATTAATACGAGTCTGGTATCGGACAAATATAGAATCAGAGTGCAAGTGAGCTGCAAAATTTGCTCGATCACGAGGAGCGCTGATCATGATTTTGTTGCCGCAAAAATACCTACACAGGAACATGCAATAAGACTAGTAAAGAAAGTTCAGATCACTGGATTAACTCAAACTGTGTTTTAGATACACAATGGGTATATTCGGGACAAGCCAGCCGTTGATGCACCTCGTGTGTCTCAGCATAAACTGAACCAACTCCGATCCGATTCTCCTCAAGTTATTTCAACTCTCGCTCTAATTCTACACAACAGAAGAAGCATGCTTAGTGACGTACATATATACTGTACGTGGAATCTGTACTTTCATGCTGTCACCACTATCTTGAAGAGCAACGTTTAATAAGTTACCTCCTGGATCCTTTCCATTTGAATTATCAAAATTCTGGAGCAACGTTTAATAGATTACCTCCTGGATCCTTTCCATTTGAAGTATCGAAATTCTCGATGATTCGAAATTAATGCATCGGGGAAATAAAGAAAGCAAAAAGGTGCCTCGGACCACAATAGTATCTCAATTAAAAGCGTTGTCACTAAAGGTAACATTTTTAAGAATATGATGAAAAATTAATATACTGCGCGAAACTTTATACAGAGTGTAAGTTTAATCTCGTTAAAGGTCAGTCCGGATCTATTTTCAGCCGTGCATACATTGTAGAAAGTCCCACAGTTCACGCAGCACGATGAAATACGATGTCCCACATGATATGAAGCGAAAGTATATTTTCCTCAGGCAAACCAACGACTGTTTCGTGCTTCATTTAGAGAAGATAGCGCGTTCAGAAATTTTTGTTCTTTTGGAGGATTCACAAATCGGCCATCATTGTATTTCAATATTCCAAAGCTGGTGACTATCCACTTAGTTCGAATTAGTTACACGAAGAAGTGACGAATGTCCAAATGGAGTTAAAATTTGATTTGAAAATTTGTTCAATTCATGTATTTGCTTTAATACAAAAAAACAATTTTTGTCTTTCCTTGAAGGTCTATGCCATGGTGGGCTTTGTGTATTTTGCTGTTATCATTGTTATAACAATAAACTATGGTAAGTGTTTAGAACTTGCGATCACTTGCAACGTCCTTCTTCCCCAACAACCCCTTAACCCCTTAACCCGATCCCGTAATGCCTCTATGAGGGCATCCGTAGTTCAGATTTTTTGGATTCTCATTTCTCACCAGCCCATTATTTGACTCCGACTAAGGAAAAACCCTTTGATGCTTTTTTATTTATTCGATTTTCAGTCAACAATACAAACACGTGAAGATACAAAGGCGGAACACAGACGACTAGCCTAGAAAAACCAGTCGCTACAGGGAAAAGCAGGGATAACGCAAAAAATGTTCAGAAAACTTCTTTCCACTGCCCCTGACCCTGTCTGGAGTCCGACTGAGGAAAAAACTTCTCATGCCGCCAATCACAGTCTGAATTTTCTTACAGAAAAAAATCACTATCTCAAGAATTTTTGGGGAAAAAGCAAGCATGTGTAATCTTTATCACTTTACTTTTTTCCCTCGACCAACCAACCTCCCTCGAAGTCAACCACTCCACCCAATAAAAAAAGGAGAAACTTAACTACGGACGCTCTAATGGGGTGAACAGAACTGTTCAGTTCACGGTAACACAGATGAATTATATTAAAACGAAATGATCTACCCAAAAAATGTTTCTTGCTTTTGTTTACAACAAAGTTAACGACAACAGTGCATGGCTTCGTCTGTTAGTTTCTGTCACATTTACTATAATATTCAAGCGCAAGTTGATATTTATAGTGCCATTGAACTTCTTCGACAGCGCGACATTTTCATTTTGTGATGTATATTAATAAATGCAATTCATTTCTCAGTCCCTGAAATACTTTTAGAATATGGAATGCATTGTACAAAGCCATACCTAATGGGCAGACTACGTCTCTGGCGCCCCCATCAAGTTACTCCGATTTCCTCTATGTTTTCAAACTATGGGAGTGTTACACCCCTTTATAAAAGCTTGTCACTTTCTTTCCCCCAAGAGGATTCCTCAATGTACTACGTGACGTCCATCTTTGGCATGATCTTTTCGGGACTGGCCTTCATAACGGCTATATTCATGGTGATTGGAGTCCACCAAGATCTCAAACCGATGCTGATACCGTACATTATCATCAAGGCGCTCATTATCTTACTGCTGTGTGTGCTCTTAATCGTTTACATCGTCGACCTTACGGTGGGTTTACAGTGTGCTTGGGAAGGTATTAAATTTCGTTGGGAGACACTCATGATCCAGTTTAAATTTGAAAAATAAATCTGGACCCTCAATAATGTCAGATAGCGGAGACCACTCTCCTGAAATGAAAACGTAGCTTTTAATGCAAAAATACTATTTTTTCCGGGAAGGTGACAGCTAACACTTTCTATCCTACAACAAACATGTCAGGTTTTGAAATGCACTTTTTCATGATGAGTCATTATGCTTTCAGTACGACGCTTGAAACTATAAACATTGGACTTCTTATTTCTTTCAGAAGATCTTTCATGTGCTCAATCTCTTGTTTATTCTGATGATGATGGCAATCATTGCTGTCAATGTAAGTTCCTGCAAATTTGGATATTTGTAGAGATTGATTTCACGGATGACCCATCCGGTAAGCCTCCCCCCGTGTTTTGACCACTCCCAGCTATGAATTATGTCTGGCATGCGTGCACGATCGTGTGGCGCGTGCGGCTGGCATAACATGCAGGGGGACACGCCAGGAAAAGAGCTTACTGGATCGTTCAAAATACAGCACACCTACATGTACATGTACATGTACGTACGTGTACATTCACAGCCCAGCGCGACACAATATTTGAATTTTTTAAAATGCTTGCTTTGATTTTATAAAAGAAAATATTGACAGCCACTCTTACCTCGTCACTTCTTAACTAATTATGGAAATGTATACTAATTTCGAAAACAGGGCAATTTTGCGAGCTAATTATCTTTTCTCTCTTTTCAACAGATTATGTGCTTCCTCTGTGTGGTGTCTCAGTACCAAGAGCTCAAAGCAGGCCGGGGAATGGGTTACTGAAATATCACCATTCAAGGAGGAAATTTTCTCCCTTTCACTTTTTTCCTATGGCGGGCGCAGGATGCATTTCTCAATCTCATCCAACAAGATCGATTGATTTCCCTTGCCATGGGTGTAGCTGTTCGTGGACTTGTTCTATAGATGTTGATAATATATAGATATGTAGAACAGGTGTCACTGCGAAAGGTTCCGTTGAAGGAGTTAGAACTGCAATGTACTCTCTGAGTGTGAATGGTAATTGTCTTTTTTGTCTAGGCTGTGATCAAAACCATAAAACTGGTCACAATGAACAACTTGTGAATTGGAACCATTCAGAGTCGAATCGAGGCAATTTCTGTTCTTCAACCCTGAATGGAAGTTTACTGAGCCAACACCCGTAGGTCAAAATGCTTTCTGAAGGAACATTGTGTCGTTCCAGGAATAAAATCCAGACCTGTCAATTACAAACGGTCCATTCTAATGCCATTCTGTATTTTTTCACGAGCGGTGTTGATTTGCTGACGTGCACGAGAACCAATTTACCACTTGCCCACAGCTGTGCAGACAGTATACAGGCTATATTTGAAATTTTGTGCAATGCTGTATGTGTTGTACTTTCCAAGTTAGGAAAAAAACGATGCAATCACTTTGCAATAGTGCAGTGGGCAGTTTAGTCCACTGTTCAGTCACGGTTGTTATGTCGATTGGTTGAATCAAAACAATTTCAAAAATATTACATTTATTATGTAATGCATGATTTTATTATTTGAAAGTACAAGGGTGTTTCCGTATTAGTAGCACCACTAACATTTTCTTGTTCTCGGTACATAAAACGTACCTGTAGTCTCCCGTATACTTCGATCGGTCTAAGGTGTGGATCACACTTGCATCGTATGTAAGCTACGGTTGCATAAGTACAAAGGGGTGGCTGTAACTATGAAGTAGTTACCCGGCACTTCTTATCAGCCGATAAACTCTCATTTCTTTCCGTACTAATTAGCAGACCGACATGGTTTGCAAATAGTAAAGCGTCAGACCTATTCCTGCTGACTGAGGCTCTTCCCACGATGCTGCCTGCAGATGACTGGAGCACGTTGATGCTGGATGCATGCTCATTATAGGGACGATACACTATCAAATGGGACAATGGTAGTATAGTGTTTGAGCAGTTTGGTTGTTGAAACAAAAGGAAATAATTTTTATTACTCTTTGTAAGTCTAAGTGCTGCCAGGCTATTTTAAAGTAAATTATCTAATTTGTGAGTTAGTTTTGATAAATTTTAAAATCTGATTTCAGAGATAAAAAGGTTGTTGATAAACAGCATGAACCAGATGTGAGGAGAGTTGCATAATTAAAGTACAGACTGCTGTTAAACCGTACTCAAGAAGGCAGTGTCAGATTTTACTTTCGATAGTTTTTTCACGTTACTTCTATCGAAAAGACTGGAACATGTATTTTGAGCATGCCACTGTCATTTTGAACAGCAAAGAGAGTTGTGGATCTTTCGGCTCCACGAGCAGCAGAACAGACGAAGTCAAAATGGCCATGGCCCATCACATCAGCCCAATCCCATCATGCCAATGAGTCTGCTTTTTTGACTTAAAGTAAAAAAGTAAAGTAAAAAAGTAAAAAAAAACCTATACAAAAGGTTTACAGAAACACACAAGTCATGTGTTCAAGTTGCTGAGGCGAGAGCATCTCGACATGACAGCCACCATTGATCGGTGGTCAACCGATGTTGATCAGTCAGTGTAATGTTTTACAGTTAAATTCATCAGATTTTTTCTACGTCGCAGTCGGGTCACTGGAGTCTGACCACGATTTTACTACCGAAAGAAATGGCATGCAATTTTCAAAGACAGTCTGACTCTCCACACTACTTAATTTCTGATGCTGCGTAAATGAAATGATTACAACGCTCCCATCACGGGTGATCAGGGTCACTAGCCACAGATGTCTGACGGTGTTTACAAACGACACAAAGAGCCACGTTCACCGGCATACTTTGATTTTAACTGTAATTAGGCCTATTTGATTGGTCTACATTTTTAAAAAATCAATTAAGTCCAGTTTCGCTTCTGTAACTCCTCAGCATAATTATCCTTTCACAGTAAGGTTACAAACATTTCTCAATCCCATCCCTAGGAGTCTTTAATTGAAAACAATCCTCTAAAAAATCTTTTAATGGAAAAAAAGAAACCAAATATTTGACATTATGAGTACACACAGTCGTATACCAGGTATACGACTATGTGGGCCTACTGTATTATTATAAAATAATTGTCCAAGTTTTGACTTGAGGGGTGGAATAAGAATGATTAAAAATGTGAATTTTACCAAGGAAAATTTCTTTGGCAACTTTTTACTCCTCTTAAAATGGACGAAACTATTTAACCTCTCTTTCAGGTTAAGCTACTTGACGAGGACAGTTTTGAAGCTTTCAAATGTTACACGCTTTTGACAATGAGGGCGCTGTTGCGAATAGCTCATGTCGCAAATCTCTTGAGATGCACAGCTCAGGATTTCACCACAGGATTACAGGTATGTTCATACATATTGTAGGGATTTCCTGTTCGTTGTGCCAACCTATTGCAAAATTCACGTACTGAAAATATTTGGGAGAAAGTTTTGTTCAGTGGACTGAGGCAGCAGCGAAACACCTAAGTAAGCAAAATTCATTACAGCCCAAAAGCAAAACTTCTGGCAAATTTTGTGCAGAAATAATTAAACACAGGGGTTTCTCCCTATATGGCATCACACTTTTGCTCATAAATATTTAATTTGCATGACCAGCATACAGACAAAGCAGATCCACTAATGCCCTTTAAAATGAACATCAGGCCTGAACATCAGGCTAATTGGAACAAAAAGACTCGGAGCATTTACAAAGACTGCATCAAAACAATCTATTGCATTTGTTATTAAAAATACAATCCAAGGGCACTTTTAGTGTACATGTATTCAATACGGACGATTCACAACAGTGCGCCACCTAGAGTTTGCAACACGTTGGCCAATCATAACACGCGAAATTTGTCGACTCTTTCCATACTGGGTCGATAATGTCGCAAATTGTGATTGGCCAACGCATTGCAAGCTCTTGGTGGCACACTACTGTGAAACGGCCGTGTTCTACTGAGAGGATACTGGTTTCTCTCAGCTTGACTGATGTTCCAGATATATGTGTTCCCTCCCCCACCCTATATCCAGCAAGAGATGAGACCAAGGAGTACCCACCCAAAATGTCCAATCACAATACACGCTATAGACTATTGTTAACTAACACCCCCCCAAGTGTCTGAAAATAATTCCTCAGATTCCAGTAAAACAATGACCAACACAAAGCAGGGGGTTCCTCTCCATCACATATCTTGCTTCATATGCCCCTCCCCAGGGCATTTAATAATTCTGAAAATTTTAAAATGAAGGCCACTTTCCAAATTACATGACTAAACTGGGACGGGAACAGCAGTCAACGATAAAGTATTTGGTTTGCTTAGGAGGACTAGGATGTAGCTTATAATTAATATTATTATTAGTGTTGTTTTAATTAGTGTCAGCAAATATAATTAAGGAATTAAATAAATTTCATACTACGTAATGAATATTAAAACCAATTTTGTGTCAAACATTGGTGAACAATGTGACAGAATCCTTATGTTAATGCATTTAGAGTAAAAGGGAAAGCCCAATGCAGAAAAGAAAAACTAAAAAGAGCTCAATACAAACCCCATGCCCCAACATGGTATAGAGCTCAGCAGCTGCTGTCGAGGATCTCAAAAGCTGCAGTATGGTACATGTATATACCAATGAACTGCTAATAAAAAGACAAGCAGATTTTCAGCAGGAAATTTAAGGGAGGCTGCAAAATTAAAAATGTAGCCTGTTATTATACAGCAGGGGAGCCACATGCATATATGGCTACTAAGCCTCTGAATTTTATGCAGATGAGATAGACACGGTCTGTCCTATTACTGTTGCATAAGCACACCACATTTTTACATAGTTTTAAATTTTCATGCATGAACTGTGAGAAATCTCTTAATTATTTAAAAAATAATCCGAGTTTCCTTGGGAATGGTACACAACTTATGCAATGATTATCACAATTTCAACCTCTAGCCTAAATCTAGTTTTTACCCCATTCAAATTTTCAAGTAGCTGTGTTTGAGGGAATTTTGGTACCCCTCTGTTTTTTCCTCACAAGAATGTGCAGGTCATTATCAATGGGCAGAAAAGTATGATGCCATTCTGGGAAGCTCAGTAATGAACGTTTCAACATGGATGCCTTTTCCTGCCTCCATGGTTTCAACTCCAGTTCATTCAGCACCAAAATTTACCGAAATTGTCTTAGGATTTCCCTTCAACATGATGTACAAAGATGGGTTGCTGAACAGTTTCCAAATATTTACGACTGAGGAGCAAGATGTTACACAAAACATATTCCCACTAAGTACGATTCATGTCATGTCGTGATCAATTGCGCGGCACACACAGTTTGAAGTAGGCATTTGACATGTTTGAGTTTGACAATCTTTAATAAAGATAGGCCCGACGTTAGTATCATCACGCCTGTCGTCTGCTCAACTTGACGGGCATAACATTAACTTTCCAAATGTTAATTAAAAATCTAAGTTGTAAACTTACCCTAAGCAGAGTCTGGTCCTTTGCAGTCCACTTTTAACATGAAAAGTGATAAACCAAATATCCACTGATACTGGGGAAGAAATGACAATTTTCACGAATCTGGCGTATATCCATGTCTATCGTCTGGTCGAGCGAGGTCACGGTCCCGCAAAAGTTGCACGAATAATGGACTCTGCGCATGTACATCATGCATATCGCATGGCTGAGAGGCCGTTTTACCGTCTTGGGAAGTTAACATATCGTACCGCTTTCAACTTTGTCACAATTGCATTTTAATATTTCAGGTGTTATTATAGATTAATTTGAATTCCAGTTGCGACGTTTTCAATCCATTATAATTGATTTTTACAATTTTGCATATTTATTTATTATTTTTGTCAAAATTAATAGATTCCAAGCGGACTATTTTTAGGCAGATGAAGTTGTACTTTTCAGTCAGGTGAGATCGGTGAGTACGTATTCTCCTTGCGACGGTAGCTAGGGGCGTCCAACGTACGTATGACTATGCATTGCATTTCATAATTCACTCTTTAGAGACAAGAAAATGACGGAAGAATTCGTCCAAACACCATACTCCTTGCATGGTAATGATATCTCTGGTTTCTACATCAGCAAACAAAACTTTACTATCCTTTTAGCTACCGTCTTTGAGAAAACAAAACAACTCTTGACTCTTGAGGGCGCCTGTTAATAGACTCTGGTCGCGCACTGCATGCAGTACACGGGCGTCTATCTAGTATCTTCAGGCCGGCCGGCGGGAATAGTCAAAATAGTGTAATCATCATCTTACATTATTATGATCAAACAGTGTCAACAAAATATGATTTTTGTCATCCACAGAGGAGTGCTTCGTTGATTTGCGTGTGTATTCACTCGGTTTGGACTAAATTTTTTTCGACCGTTTCGTTCTCAAATTTATTAGAGTTTCGATATCGTACTTCATGTATGCTGTCGCATGTATAGGCCTACGTCAGACTCCATTTGGACTTTTTCGCCTTTTTACCGGAGTCACTCCAATCCGACGCGACAACGTAGTACTTGTACTTAGTAGCCAGTGATTTTAGGTGAGTTGTATTTGCGCATGACCCTGCATTCTGTAGATAGGCCTAGCCCAGGTGGACTCCCTGACCATAATGAAATGAAGACAACGTCCAACCTGGGCTAGGCCCAACTCCACATTTCAAATCGTTGATCGTATGCCTACCTGGCTTGGTTACTTGTTAGCATGGTTAGGGAGGCTCATAAATTTTACAGCTATCATTTTTTGGTTTTCTTTTGACATGATCTTGAAGAGGATGTCGTAAGAAACATTTTGATATAAGACGACAGTGCAAATTTGCAGTGGCCAATGCCATTAAATAGTGCCACAAATGTCATGCATGGCTACGTTCTGCAAGCAGTCGATCAGTACGATTGCACGACAAGAACATTGTGTAATGTTTGGCAAATTGCTGCTCGTGATTGTTATTGTTGTAGACATTTTGTTCCCATCTAGCTTTGTTCACTTCATTGAGTGGGGATGCTATTATCATGGAGGAAGGACACAGAAGGAGTTGTAACTCAGGCACTTCAAAGCGTCCAATGATGGTCGCCGCCGAGTCTGACGAATAATAGAAAACATTCCAAAAATGCCTTATTGCTGCCTGCATCTTAGCCAGACAAGCGGGGCCAGTAATATCCTGGCAATACTTTTAATTTTTTGCTTGCTATTAAATACAAACTATCGATGTGACCAGGAAATAGAGAGAGAAAACTTCCTGATATTAGACCTACTTTTGCCATCATAAATAAACTTTTTATATTTTGACACACTGTTTCATTATCCATGCAAAGTTTGTAATTCTAGTCTCCTCCGTCCAATACATCAGTGTTCAAAGACTAGGTAAGAATTTGGCTAAGACTGGCCATCAAAATCTTCACTACTTCTGGAAAGCCTAGTTCATTAGGAACAAAATGCAAAAATTTCATCACAGGGAGTGATCGTGAAATCTCATAAAATACGCCTTTGTACGAATGCCATAATAAATATGATTTAAACAAAACACAAAATCTTACAAACAGCTTGGCTATTTTTTTCCAAAAAGAAGTCCAGAAGAATGAGTTCGATAAGGGCAACAACTGCACGTGAACACTTCGGGTACACAGCCTAGTAAAAGCAACCACGCAAGCACTAAATTTGATGTTGTTGTCGGGCCATATCAAGCACCAACGATTGCATGAATATTCAACTTCCTATGCTGCAGTACACAACGTTTTAGGGATGCAGATTACCAACGAAAAATTGCGGCGACGATCATATGGTACAAAGAGGGCTTATGGTTGCAAAACAGGTGGTGAGTAGCAGGCGTGCGCTGCGCTCTGGCTATGGGCATTCCGGGTATGCCAGAAAGCGGTATTTGGCCAGATGTTACAGCCCGGGCAGTTCAAACTCCTTCTGTGTCCTTCCTCCATGCTATAATTAACGTGGCGACTGAACAAGAAATTGGCTTATAGTTTTGAATTTAGACTGGCGTTTTTGTCATCAGGTCATGTTCATTGCGCTAGTCCGGCATATGTTTGGTACATTGGAAACAGGAACCAGACCAGTCTACAATGAATGGATCTCAGACTTTATTTACCCTCATTGAAGTTTGACTGTATAGCCATTGATTTCTAGGGGGTACTTTCGAGTTTATATTTTTGTATAGGCCTATAGGACTGAAAACCAAATCCACATGCTGACCTCGGTTGGATTCAAACCCGGGTCGCAGAGGTGGAAAAAGCCACTACACCAACCTGACTCCCCCTGAGTTGGGTACTCTACTCCAAAACTCCAAAATCTCCATTCTTTTACATTACCGTGACTAAGAAACCAAAGGTGATTGTTGTGTAGATTGTCTGATGCCGTTGCAAAAAATAATCAATAAATTTATCAGATTGGGCAAATCTGATCACGTCCGTTACATATAAAACCATTTAACTAGGCATGACTTGGAGCAGGGGTAGGCCTAGAGGAGTAGACCTGTGTACAGTGCGTGCACTTGGGCCCATGTATGGACTTATTATTTTCTTGTAAAAGGTTGTAAAAACCAAGACTTAGTCCACAATAGCTGTATTGTTCCACTGTCATGAAGAAACACCTCCTGACTTGGCAAAAGTGATTGAGGTTGAGATTCTCCCAGCCATTATTGAAACGACAGATGGAAAACAAGAATGATTTGATGAATGCATTGTGGGTTGTGTTGAGTATGTCAGAACTTTAGCTGCTAGCTCGTTTTAGATTCACAACCCTGAAGGACTAACTAAATTGTATGAATTTGCTTTTCCAGTCAGAAAAAGCTAAAACCTAGTAGGAATCATCTATGAACTGCCACGTAGTCCTACACAAGCTGCAAGACATGTATCGAGTCACCGATCTGGAAGATGCCTTGCCAGTCACACCGACCAAGTCTGTCCATGTAGAGATCTGCCAGAGCCCGTGCAGGTAAAAGCCACCAGGTCCTGGGGGGGGGGGAATGGACAAATGCTACACACCGTAAATCAAGCACTATGCGTGACAAGGTGGTGTGTGTTCTTGCAACTCTGGTATCCTGCTGAAGTTGCGTGATATTTGCTCACAGAAGCTGGCTTGATAGACTTGACAGTTGTTTAAAGCCTGTGCTATTTCACATGACTGCTGTTAAGATGTGCAGTATTCAACCTGGGTCCGTCAATGAAGTTGAGACATTTTGTGACAATTGGACCATAGGGAGAATGGGGATTTGAAGGGTCCCTCCAAGTACCATAAGTAAAGGTTGTTATTTTGGGGGTAGCAACTCTGCCAGCTGTTCCTGAAATGTTTCATAGCATTTGGAAGTTATGACATATCTTTAGGAGAATAGGGAGCAGAAAGCACAGGAATAGAGGGCACAATGCCTAATTCTTAACATGTAGCTGAGAAATATAATATGAAGTCTTAATGGCATTCCATGAAAACTCTCGGTGGACACCAACTTTCAAGAAGCGAGACATTCAGGATTTACTTTGGAACAGATTATTAAAAATACCATAAAGACTTTAAATTTCCCTGTAATTACTTTGGAATGGTGCATTATGCTGCCCTCTATCTATCTGAATGGAGACCAGAATTGATTAAAATGGTTTAGTGATATGTAAATCGCACTGCAAATAGGTGTATTAAGTCGCACAGTGCACAAATGTGTAATGGCCCATTCCATGTTCCAAGGGTGAAAATATTTGGAAATATTTTGAGGCCAATTGCTTGACGAGAAAGCCTCTGTTACTAAGGAAAACCAAGAGTGTGTCTAATTTAAGTTTAATCTTTCTGCTCGTGTCTCAAAAAGCATGTGTGATAAAGTGAAATTATATGAATATGCAAATGGCAAACAACTCCAAAATGCAAAATGCCACTGGGATGAAATAGATATCAAATGAAAGCTTATGATATGAGTAAAAGACCCAACTTACAAGCACAGAGATTTGCATACAAAGCGGCATCAGTACCATTCTTATTTGTTTACCTACAGCACAGTGCACAGGGAATCCATCAAGGATCACGTGACTAAGCTGCTTCACAGACAGCGGGTGTCCTATGGGGACATGACCCTGACGGAATTTGACGATCCGTATCTGAAGGAGCACGTCAAGTGGGTTGCAATATGCGACACAGAGTTGGACGTCTCTGGCAAGCAGGTGGATACCATTCGTGCATGTAGTCAGCCTCACCAGATTGAGGAAAGGCTTAATATTGCAAAACAGTCCAACGGTCTCTGTGTTTTGGTCTGCCCCACAGTATGTTCCTACACATTTATAACTAAGATTGAAGAATTTCTGAAGGAATCTGAATGCTGAATCCTACAATATCCACCAGTTGTTTGGAACCAGCAATGCATTTTTTGCACTTTTTAAAGTTTTTAGGAGCATCAAGTCCCATGTGAAAACAATAATGACCGTGCTCAATCTTCATCAGTTCTGCAATATTCTTCAAAACCTCGTCACGAATCTTGAATCATCACCGGGGTTAGCGTTAATGGCTTTATTAAGGCAGACCCTTCAGAAACATCAAAATTCTGTATGCAGCAATATGCGACCTCATGCCGAAGCATCCTTGAGTTATAAAAATGTGTTCATGTATCAATTGCAACTTCACTGATCTTACATTTTAATGGCAAGATGCTACAAAATGGCACTTTTTAAATTTTGGAATTAAAAAATGCGACAATTTTGATTGTTGGGCTTGTGTTTAATCAGTTGTTTTGGGTACTGGCAGGCAATTGATCTGTGCCAATCAGAGCTTCACCTCCATGTGTTCCAACTTTCCAATGAGGGTCCAGGGATGGAAGAACTGGCGGACGAAGAGATTGCAGCTGCCTCCCATTGGCTGCTGCCGGCAGGTGGGAAAACATCTTTCATTTCCTGCCGTCCAGTGACAGTCTTGGAATATTGCCGTCAAAATGCTGTGCGGTGACTTGTGAATATGGGCAATTTACAATACAGTGCACCACCAAGAAGAAAGGCCCTTGTCCCAGTTTTTCTGACCAGACGCATGATGACCAGTCCACATTTTACCATATTTGTGCATAGAACTTATGAAATATACATTGTATATAATTAGTAGACATGTGTAATTTTCAACTGCACTGGGATCACAGTTGTATGATCGGGGTGTTTATCATCTGCCTTATTCTACTGCTTTGCAGCTGACTTTGAAGGTATCTGGGACAGTCTTGTCTTTGACTCCTGCGTCAAGTCCAGCCTCCTGCACTACGCCACCACAACACTGCTGTTCTCTGACTGCAAGGTGGATCCCAACATCATATCGTGGAACAGAGTGGTCCTACTGCACGGTAAGATTTGGGCTGCAGGTTGATTGCAGTTTTATTGACAGATTAGTTGCTCGGTTTTCAAAATCAAAAGGCTGATATATTGGTGTTTTGATCCACCCAATTTCTCCAAAAATCCTGGCCTGCTAGTGTGACATCATGTACTTGTATTTCTTGCCAGCAGAAAGTACATTAATATTTGTGATTGTCACAGTTCCTTTTGAGAGAGTTACATGCATGGAACTTTTGAGATTTAAAGCTTTAATAAGACTGTTTGGGTCCGTGCAGTACTACCAAATCAAACCTTCATTTTCAATCAGTGCAGTTCAATAAACCGAATCGAAAAATCTGACCAGGTCGTGAACTTGATGGTTGAGTTAATGGAATAAACCAGTAATGGAAGACTTTGAGACGCTCGGTGACGGCAAACACACCGGTCCTTTTTTACCCGTGCCGAGCATGCACGCATTGTTCTGAGCAAGTGTGCGTGGTTCTGAGCACCTGCAATAATGTGAAGAAGGACCGATATGCCTGCTGCCACCAGCGTCTCAAAGTCTCTCACTGTCGCAGCTCTAAGATCAAGCTACCCTTGGCTTCCTTAGTATCCAAAGCATTTTACTTTCATTGAGCCCATCTCACTGTGCACCTTTTCGTTGGAAGTATAGCGACTCCTGTTCAATCTAACACAGTGCGGTAAACCAGCAGTGCATTCTTTATACCAGGTCAATCATCAGGACATCCAAGCCCAAACTTTGTGTATTGAACTCAGGGCCGATGACATCAAGATTGCCGTATGTTCTGACTGAGCACAAATGTATCGCCAACACTGATCATTTACATGTACGTGGGCGAGAACGTAATTCACAAAATCCACAGCATATCCGACTAAAACTCTCCCCTTCATGTCAGGGTTATTCCACAGGGGCTTTGAATGGGACTTCAAACGTTGAATGGAGTATGAAGTAAAGGTTGCTGAACTATGAGCAGCCATTAATCTGTCACTATGCTGAGAAACTCAGTCAATTTCGGCACATTCTGGGAGAGTTAGGGGTTGAAGGAAGTCATCCTCTAGGCATTCCTTATGTTTTTCCCCTCTACTCCGCAGGTCCACCTGGCACAGGAAAGACCTCGTTATGTAAAGCCCTGGCCCAGAAACTCTGCATTCGACTATCTGACAGGTACTGGAGCTATGGAATGAAACATTGACACAACTTTTCCCATTATTCAAATACTGCTGCCTTGCAAAGAAGATACTTTTTAAGCTCTTAACCGTTGTTTATCCCACGTCCTTGATAATGTCATTAACTACTGTTAGACAGGTCTTGGTCTTGCAGCCCAGATCAGGTGATATGCATGATCTGTGACCTAATCACACAAATTCTTACCAGGGAGTTAAAGTTCGGCCACAAAAATACTGATATTTTCTTCTCCCAAATGTCCAAGCTTCTCTCCTGCCCTTTCACGTCTTCCATTCAGAACTTGTTTTCAGTGCCGAGAGTGTGAAAGTGCAGCATAGAGCTTAGAGAGGGTTAATGAAAAAACGATACGCCTGCCTTGGCCCAGTGTTAATTCATGGTACCTCGTTTACACAGGTACAGCTATGGTCAGCTGATTGAGATCAACAGTCATAGTCTCTTCTCCAAGTGGTTCTCGGAGGTGAGCTTGTCGAGCAAACTTGGATTTTGGATTATTTCTTCTAGAAAGAAATGGACTTTTCAGCATTATCATCACAACATCTAAAATTTTATTTGAGCCCTGTGCTAATTTGTTGGTGTTTGGATTGCCTGGAATATTTTCTGGAACACAGAGGGGGTCATTTCTGTGAGCAAGTGATATATTTTTTACCTTGAAAGAGAGGTTAATTTGAATAGCAAAAACTTCGTAAATATCCTCAGACATGTTACCCAATCTCACCAGTTATAGTCATGCCTGAAAAATGTTAGCAGATAACCACATATCAGAAATATGCAGCAGATAATAAGTTCTGGAAGTTACAAGTGTAATGTTTAGATTGTAAATAGCAAAAAGCCTAAATACATTGTACAGGCTAAGTTTGGACTTTACATCAACACAGGAAGCAGTAGTTTGCACATGGCCTTTATTAAGGTTGTGCATTGCTGATAGAGCATGTTTTAGTTTCAGAGCATTTGGCTGGCATTTGCAGTGAAATGTACAGTCACCAGAAATGTTTTTGTAGTTATCCAAAATGCATTTTGTCTGAATGAGTGTTCTTTGTTTTGGGGGGGAACCTGGCAGAGTGGCAAATTGGTGATGAAGATGTTTCAGAAGATCCAGGAGTTGATTGATGACCAGGATGCCTTGGTCTGTGTTCTCATCGATGAGGTCAGTGACGTGTCTGACACGGGTTCTATGAAAATAATTTTGAATGCAATATCTGCAGTTGCAAAACAGTACACAGGCCTGAACTTAAGATTCTACTTGGCATGATAGCTCTTGTTTGAAACGTTTGGGACATTTCTACAGAAACAGAACGTTGTCCTCTGAACTTGCAGATAATAGGTAGTTTAAAAAAAATACTAAAATGAAAACAAGGATAATTTTAATATTTGAGCTTAGGATTATGGAATATTGATCTAGCAAGACACACTCTAAACCAAATGATAGGCAGATTTCTATCCCAGTCTGCCAGTATTGGAATTACTGATTGAGTAAGGGAGTGTGGCTTAGTGATTAGAATTTGGAATTTATAACGAAAGGGTTAAGGTACGAATCCCTCGGCTGAGGACGTGTAGTGACTCGGGCAAGCCATGGCCATTTCACCGCAGTTTCCTCTCTCCACCTAGGAGTATAAAAGGGTGCCACTCTTGGCTGGAGAGCAACCTAGAATGGCCCAGCAGCCCACCCGGGGGAATAGACATATTCTCAGTTATTACATGCTACTGAATCCAAAGATAAATGACGACCCCATGGACCACATTGGTTGGTGACAATCTTTACATACATTAATGGGTTTTTTTTTTTGCAGGTGGAAAGCCTGACAGCAGCCAGAAAGAGTTCACTCAATGGCACCGAGCCATCTGATGCAATCCGCGTCGTCAATGCTCTCCTGACACAGATCGACCAGATAAAACGGTAGGACAATCTGCAGACAAATCAAGCTGCAATATTGTCTATAACGCAACACCAAAATAGATCGCCGTCTTCTGATTGTCAAATTGCAGATCACATGACTTTTGACATGAATTATTCAGATCAAGGCATGGTGCACGTGCAGTGCAAAAACAGTGCAATAGAACCGTGCAAGAGCTCTTTTTGGTCAAATGAAAGATGGACAAATAAAATTCACAGGCTTGCTTTGCACTCGTACTTTTCTCGTCACGGCCCCCATTGCTCAAAGAGGTTCCACTCTAATGACTTTTAATTTTGGTTGCTGAGCTTTACTGCTTCAGATAATCCAAGATATTGCAGCAGCGAACGATGAGAAGCTATTCGAACATACATACATGAACTGTTCTTGACACTGGATATTAGAATAGCAAATATATTTTACTTTTTACACAAATTCTGCCTGTTACATTGCTGTGAATCCTACTTATTTCTGTGCATTTCCTCCTCAGCCACCCCAACGTCCTGATTCTAACCACTTCCAACGTGACTGAGGCCATCGATCTGGCCTTTGTTGACCGGGCGGACATCAAGCAGTACATCGGACCCCCATCACCATCAGCCTGCTTCAAAATCTACCACTCCTGCATCAATGAACTCATGCGGGTAAGGCCCAATCCCCAACAGCAGCTGGGACAGTCCATGGATTAAGTCGTCCAAATAAGTTGTTTTTTGGGGGGCAGGGCTTGTGCCATTTCCCGGGTGAGTTGTCTTTTGGTGTATTCTACAAGGCTTGAATTGCACAGAAAAATCCAGTACATGGCAGGGATAGCAGCATAAATTATTGACAAACCTGAAGCGTTTTTAATTCTAAATAGAAGGAACACTCATTTGCAGTTTGAATTTAAGTAAATATATTCATTTGAAAAAACTTAAAACTAAATACTGTACTACACCATTCTCTGTTTGGGTAATCTATGTCTCCTGCTTCTGCCAACTACTACAAAAAGTCAGTCTACCAGTCAATCCAGTTGAGGCTGAGTCACTTTTAAAACCCAAGTACAATGAAGTAGAGAATAGACAGGGCAAATGAGTCCTAAGAGACTTGGCATTGTGGTTTGAGTGCTTGAAGGTTTGCTTTCTTAGCAGGAATTTGACAATCTAAATGAAGAAGTTTGCTGAAAAAGTTGAAGTTGTTTTTGTCTTTCACATGTACTCATATATTTCAAACCTACTGATGGCAGGCTCTGACTCGAAACACGCCTCCTCATTCAAACACTCCAACCAATAAAACCTTTATGACACTTTGGGTTTGATTCCAACTTCTCAATCGTATATTTCAGTATACTGGAGACTACTCCAGTGGCAATATGTGAAGCCACAAATGCTCAACCTAAGCACAGTCTTGGGCTTCCAGGTCTACAGCTAGGTCTGTTTCCAGCATATGCCTGTGTACAGTATTTGCAACCTTTGAAGAACAAGACTTATCTCTAGACACGAAACCCAGGCATGGCCTTATTTGACTCTTGTTATTTGCAGGCACGTATCATCAGCCCCGCTCAGCAACTTCTTGACCTCAGGGCGCTAGAGGTCATGAGGTTCATAGAGAACGATGCCACGAAACTCAGTCTAAAGCTCAAGGAAATTGCCTGGTAAGTTGCGCCGAAAAGTATAAGGTCTTGTTCAGAAAAGCTTTTCTAAATAGCCCCTTGTGCTAAATTTACTGTAGGGCTGAGTCAATTCAAATAATTCACTATTCGAATATTCGACCTTCAATTTGATCCAATATCCGAATATTCGGTCGTACCGACCGGCAGATTGTTGATGAACAAACCGTATACAAAATCAGTTGCAATAACACACACAATTGTGCATTGTGATCAGTATAATAGCTTCTCATGACGAGGAGTATCTCCAACCACGATTTAGCAAGATTTAAGAGATGAACAAGACTTCTTGCCCTGTTGAAAATTTCTACCCCTTTTAAATTGTTTAATGCATAATTTACTTTTTAAATTGTTGTGAGATTTCTGACACTTTTCATTTGAATCTGCTTGAAACAAGCCTCCATAGTGCAATTTTTCTCATTTCAAACAAAAAAATTTCCCATCTTTTTCATGAATTTTGAATTTGAGTATTCAAATTTGAAAAATAATATTTGAATATTTGACAATCGATCAACTATTCGGGTATTCAGCACAGCCCTAAGTTGCTGCATCTTCATGACAACATTTGTTCAGTTCAAAGTAGTTCCGTTACAGTGCAAAGGTGGAATATTTCCACAGTGCATGCTCGCAATGAAGAATATCACAGATAATTTGAGTACGTCATCACATGAGTGTGAGATTGAGCCCCATTGGCATGGCCGTACACTGACTCGCAGCATGATAAACATGTTGGAACTGGCATGACGTCAGGTACTTTGCTCTTGAACGACTTTCTGTGCCTTCTTGAAATACTGAATAGCTCACTGTATGTTTCCTGCCTCCGTGTTTCAGCCTCTGTGAAAGAAAGCTAGGCACAAACACTTTCATTCGGTCCATTAAGACGGAAGAACACACTGAACTTGTAGCTCGGTAGAAGTCAAGAGGATTGTTTTTGTTTGTCTTGTTCCAGTAAGAGCGAAGGACTTAGTGGTCGGACCTTGAGGAAGTTGCCTTTCCTAGCCCATGCTCTCTTTGTCAAGGTGAGTTGCAGGGTAGGACTTTTTGTCATTTTTTGCCACTAAGATTCCCCAAAGTTGTACAACATTGGGGATGATCCAAAAGTACATGCGTAAAGATAAAGGTAATGCCCGTCTTTGAAGAATTCAAACCAGGGTTCTTCAAAACATCAAACACTTCTTGGCACAATACCTTGCCTTTGAAGGCAGAAACCTTATCATACATAACCTTGTTGGGTGAAACTTATCACTGACACTCTTGCCACTACTTGGCCTGAAATCTGCTTTTGTGGTGGGTCCCTTACATGATAACTGATTAGACAAATCCTGTCTGGTTTCCCCTCCTTTCTAGGCAAATCCAGTGTCTCTTGAAGACTACCTCGCTGCCCTCTCAGGAGCTGTTGACAAGCAGTTTGAAGAACGCCAGCTGCTAAAAGACACTTGAATCCGTTCAGTCCCAGTTGATGTCTGGTGACCTTCCACTTATACATAACCAAGAATACTGACCAAAGAAATAAAAAAAGAAAAAGGAAAAAAACACATGCAGTTTTCCCAAGCAGAACATGACTGTGAACGACTCCTATATCCAGAAAAGGCAGACTATGTCATGAACTGGCTAGCAGTCTTTTCAGTTTGTAACCAATGTTACCCACTCAATGTTGTTTCGTGTACCATAGTTTTTGTTCAGTTATCAATAATTAGCAGGAATCTTTTTTACCTTGAGCATAAAAACCTTAAGCATTTTGAGTTGTGAACAGTCAAGAGTACATTCAGGTTTATGGTCATAGGCTGCCAGAATGGTAGAACAGGAGATGGTGCCTGGCAATGGTGAGAGATATTCAATCAAATATCTCCGCATTGGAAAACCACTGGTCCTCCAAGATAGAGATTTTTCCCTATTTTGAGGGAAAACAGTCTCAACATAGGGATAAGGATAGGTTGTGCCAAACACCTCGGGGGGCCGCTTTTTTTTTGCCATTTCCCAGGATGGGGTAATGTATAGTTGAGATAAGCGATCAATAGGTGTGAAGCCTCTCAAATAAGTTAGTACAGTTAGTAGCTTATGCTTTGTTTCACCACCAAACTGAATGCACTGGCAGACCAGGTTGTGGGGGGAGGGGCCAAGCAGCCCTCAACTGAAGCTTTCATATAATAACTCAGGAAAAACAAGGCTTTAGTGTCAGTTACAGAAGACTTGACTACACGTACTTTTGTTTACAACTGGATTGGTAATTTGGTCAACCAGTTTTTTGTTTAACTTATTGCTCTCGGTAGCAATGTACCCTATGTGTTGTACAGTTATTTGTTTTTATGTTAAGCTGTCGGGAATGGAATGTTTCAAATAAATGAAAAGGCCACTACCACTTGAACAGCATTAAACTTGTGATCAGTTTCTGCCATTTGAAGTACATTTTACATTTGCTCGTCTGAAGAATTAGCATAATGGTCAATTGAACATTACAGCAACAATCAATTAATTCCCCACTTGTAATGGTTCAAGAGGTGTTGCAAGCCAAGAATAAGACGGCATCCTTGGCCTGTTGTTTTCCATAATACACATGCACATACACTTTCAGGCACAATTTATGAAGTTACAATAGACCTGTGTATTGATGATGCCACACTTCGTTCATGTGCAAGCTTTCCTGTGGTGCTCAGTGGACTGTGGGCCCCCCTACTGGCTGCACTTGTACACAAAGTGTGACATCATCACCAGTACGTTGACCAAGACAAACTGCACTGACAATAAACACACTGCACAAGTCTTTGACACGAAGCATTTTTTAATCATTTGTCCATTCATGCACAATGCCTACAATGTGGGGACAATTACCAGATACATATACATTTCCATTACTTTCCTTTGACTTTTTTTTTTCAAATTTCAGTGTTCAAACAGGAATTAAGAATTTATTTTTCAAATGGACATCTGCATACTACTACTTTTGATTCAGAGTTCATAAACATAAAGAAAACGAGCAGTAATACATTCATACTTCAAATATCTCTAGGAGAAAATCCATTGTCACAGTGAATCACCCAAGATGTTTACCTCTGTCAGTACATGTACCTTGCACTAGCAGGTGCTTCCCCAGCTGAAGTAGGCCTACTTATTCTACAATGTACAAATGTACGTATATTTGTGGTTATTAAAAAAGGGTCATCACTCATATGCAATGTTCTTATTCTGAAGTATATTCCTTATTCAAATCAATATTTAATGGACCAAATCACATGCTTTCAGACTACTTGATGAATTTAAAAACCACATAGTGGGCATGTCCCACAATCTAATAATGATTTGGCACAAACATACCCAACTAACTATTTTGTCACAACATTTTTATAAAGATACTGTACTTAATAAATCCAAACATTTCAAACTACATTACAAAGTCTTATTGCACTAGTGTTTCTGTGAATGCACATCCAAGGTAAGTTCATTCAAACAAATTCAAAGACCACTCAAGGTTTACTCGACCACATTTGGCTCATTTCTTGGTGCTGCCAATCCCTCTTGTTCTGAAAACAGCACATAACCAAGGCTTAAGCCATCTCAAACACATGATGACTGCCCAGGGACCCGGCAATTCAACAGGGCAGCCGCCATAACAGTGGCCCTCTACAAGTGTACATTCATCTCGGTCTACGGCAAACATCTATACACCCTGCATCATTCATTGCCAAAAAATGGAATGCTTCCAAAGGAACAACTTTCAAGGCACATGTCATTTCTATTTCTCCTTGGCTCAGTTAAATTTAAATATATTACACTCGACAAAGAATACTGATAATTTTCCAAGAAAACTCTACAACATTTCTGTTCTTTTTTTAAGGCACACTATAAAAGAATAACATCTGCCATTCCTCTTCCAATGCATGTAAGTCACAACAACTGTAATAATGCATTGCTATTTCTGTTATTTGTTTACATCTTTTCTTGATCCCATCCTCAAGACTACAGTGTAGGTACCACTCTCTAACTAACTGTTCCGTCCATAGTTTAGCATTCTCCATTGGGGCACATCTTGCTCAGTGCACTGATGGCCTCTTCTACTCCATTGTCGGCAGCATACCTCAACAACTCACGAGCTTCCCTGCCAATGAGAAGAATCACACTAATGTGGCTAATGGCTTAAAACAGTGAAAGTGATCCGGTGGGAGCCAGCCACATGAACCACCAAATCTGACTGTCATAAACAATTCATGGCGTGTTCACAAAGAAATTGCTTTGTGTAAGTAGACAAAATGCAATATGCAGAAGAAAAACCAAGTACATGCTGAAGCATGCAGTGTTAAGTGCTTAATGTAAAACATGGGAGATTTTCGAGCATATAATGTAAGCACTCGGCACTAGTAAGTTTAATTTTAGACTGTAAGGCATCTGCAGTCATTAAGGCATATCTATGACCAGTGTAAAGACATCACTATATACTGGGTCATTGACTCATGACCTTTGGCTCGTGGATAAATATGCAAGTGTAATTCATTTCCTCAGCTGCTCAGGGGTGGATAGTGGTGGTGCAAGGGAGATGGCTCATGTGATCTTCACTTACTCTCTATCCTTGAGTTCAGTCTTGTAACCCTGCAGGTGACCCACAGCAAGGTTGTGAGCTGCATGAGGATGCCCTTTGTCACTAGCATACCTGCAATAACAATAACATACCTGACAGATCAAAGTGCGAAGTTGTAACATGCTGATGTCATTATTATCGTTCACTGGGTTAGTCATCATTCCTTAAACCTGAGGAGTATAGAGAGCTTGATGCAGGCCTTTCATGATGACATGGGCAAAGACACATTTCACAGGCTGACCTAAAAAAAACACCTTTGCTCTCACAGGTACCCACTTGTGTCCCCCCCCGATAGTAAGTTGATGGATTCAAACAACGTTGCCAGTCCAGTCCCTATGGGTGGGAGTCTACGTCTACGTTGATTTGATAAATGTTTAGAACAACTTTCTCACATGCATATCTAACTACCTGCATCATGGCATCTGAGCACACATTTGGTCGCAATTTTAGCATAACACCAAATGACAAGTTGACCTGTTGGGCATGATCAGCTTGTCTGCTATAAAATTGCCTGATGGGTCTGCCTGACTGGTCAATCCTGCATGAAATCTCCCAACTTTACTTCCCTTCTTTGAAACAATCTTTCACAACTCAGTTACAAAGAAAAGGCAACTGGCTGACGGAAGAATTAACTACAAATCCTGCGGGAATTGGCTGACTGCACAAAGATCTGGCAATTGTGCGTATGGACTGATCAGGCCAGAGAGATCCATTGCATACATGTCCAGAATGCGAAATTTGGGAGTCTGGCAAATTAACCACCAGGGCCCAATTTTATGGAGCTACCAAGCATTGCAGAGCAACTATCCACTCAAAAAAGTCAGTCAATCAAACTATCAAATGGTGCTACGCTGTGTATGTTATGTACTAATTTTTACTTCGCTTGTGAATTTTCTCAGTGTTGATACGCAAAATTGTTTCAGTACAAAAGCAGTATCGTCATATTCAGCCCTGGGACTTTCTTAGTATGTCAAAGTATAAACCTACTTGAACCAGCGCATAGCCTGGTCCATGTTGCGATCCACCCCTCTGCCAAACAAGTAACGCTGTCCAGTCATGTGCATGGCATGAGGGGTGCCCAGCTGAGCGTAGAAATGCGTCACATGAAAATGCAGGTTGTCAAAGTGGTAATAGGAATAATAGATGAAGCTGAACACAAGGCACACAGCCAGGATCTGTAATATGAAAAAAAAAACAACAGATACACTAAATCAAATACCAGTAGCGTCTAGCCTAATGTTACGTTTCGCCATTCAAGCCCAAAATGACGTGTAAAAAAAGAAGGTAGGGGCCTAGGCCTAAAATAGTCTAGAAGTAAAAAAGTCTTATGGAAAATTATAGGGCCTAGGCCTCTTTGCAGTTTTGTTCTTTAATCACGTTCATTCAAAATGTTGGTCCCTTGTTTGTAATTTGAAAACATTCTCTTTTTGAACTGATAACACGCAATAGGCTCGGTCCTTTAAGCCTGTTTAATTATCGATTGTCTAAGCCTAACGTACACGTAAGGCCCTACCTCCAAAAAGACGACGAACCAACTATCCGGTTTTTTCCTCCTTGCTAAGTAGACCTTGCCACCAAACGGCAAACTCGGATCTTCTCCGATATCTTCATCATCCGTGAAAGCAGTCTGCTCCTCTTCTTCAAGAAGCGGTGCTTCATCCGAGGGATTTGATGCTCGAGATCGTAACCCTTCGCTCAGTGCTGCGGCGCTGCCAAGAACGCCGGTCGCCATGTTGTTTACGTTTGCTAAGCGATTGTACTAGACTTGCGCCACGCGTACAATGTACGTGAAATGACGTAGTGAGCGAAACAGTACTGCGCTTCAATCCAATCAATATCATATCGATTTCAAGGTTTTTTCTTCGTTTTATAGGCCTGTTAAAAAAAGCTGGAACAGCTGCTGCACACCTACACATCAGATTGTCGTTCGACTTCAACCCTCAGTTCTCCAAATAAGCAAAATTATTTTCAATAAATGTTTTGAAATTTAAACCTTAACCAAAATGGTCGTGCGCAGACTTCTCACCATAGGCCCCTAATTCCTATTAACTTTAATGTCGGAGCTGGCTTTCCTACAATTTGGAAAAATAACGCACAAAAAGTTCAATACAACCCCTTTTTTCGAATGAGTTCTCCCAAAAGTAGTGACCCAAACACATTCAAATTGTCCGGGTTCAAGAGGACTCTGATTGGCTGAAAGCTCGACACAAAATAACTTTTGCAACAGGTACCTCTGATGATTTGGAAATGTGTTCGGTCCATGATCCATATGAGACGTCGTTTGCAAGCGGAGATGGGATGCCATATACACAGTGCTAACGTTTCTTGGTTGTAGCAGACGAGCTGATCATGGATGAAAGCTTTCTCTCGGATGGAGGTTTAGGAGAACTCTACGTATTCCACTCAAAATGAGCCATTCCAGCACTGCAGAAAAGTCAGTCGCATTTGATTAATGTATGCCGAACTGAAATAAATAGGGCTATGCTTGTGAAATGTTTGTCACGACCAAGAAGGGAGAATTCATTTTTGACAGGTTGGGTGATGTCCATCCAGTGAACACAATGCCTTTTAGCGTGTGGAGGTACCGGTAAGTTGTCATTAACTAATTTTAGGTAATTTTTCAATTTGTTCTCAAAGTCACGAGGGTGGGCACCTTCTAGGCTCAAGTGCTGTCTCAACCACAAACCTAAGAATGTTTTAAGTCTATTTAAATATGAGAAGAGTTCTAAAAAACCAATGACCATTCGATTATGGAAGACAACATGTAGTACATAAAAGAAAACAGACACAGAAGACTGTAATGCTGAGCTGAATTGACAGACAATTTATTACTTTTCAATATTCCATTTCATTTTTCCACAAAGAACTCAACACTGAACACTTGTACACATTACTGGTGGCTTCAGTATTTTGCCTTTTCTATTTAATACTGACTTTAAGGAATGAATTTGGCCCTTTACAGTAAATTCCTGCTCCTCATTAATCTTTTTTAATTTTCCACCATTTGTAGTTTACCTTATTTAATAAAACAACATTTTGGAACAACTCTTGAGACTCTTATAAGTATGCCAAGTACAAACGGTAATATTGAATAACTTTCACCTGTCAGGAATTATGTCTTGTACTTGTGGCTAGATCAATAAATTTAGAACATTTGAATACATGTCCTGTAACAAATAGTTTACATCAGTCAATCACACAATTGACCAAAATGCCTTGCACTGAAAACATGTAACACTACAATCTGACTGCATGGAGGATGTAACACAAAAGGTCTGTAAACTTATTAATTTTTAATAAGAACATGGCAACCCTTGAAGTTGCTATCTGCAACAATGTGAAGTACATGTACACTGTCTGTCTGGCACTGTGGGCAGCTCTTGAGGAGACTGTGAAAGAAACCCATAGTTGTGTAATTTTACAACCAGTTCTTCCTGAACCATGAACTTTGACAGATACAGCTTTGTGTTCTCGAAAAAGGTTTTCTTCAAAATTTTAAGATTAAAGATTCTTTATTGTCCATTTCAAACAAATAAAATGAAAAATGTACATGTCTGCAGCTGTCAAAACCCTATTTAAAATTGCAATTTAGAACATTAAAAAATTAGTTTTAAATCATACATATTTAACACAGAAAGATTGTACATGCATTTAGATAAATTACGAACAATGAAACAAAGATAACATGTCTGAAAAATTAACAACACTTAGGATTTTTTTCAACAGTTCCAATATGGCAAAACCTCCAAAATCGAAAACTTAAGAGTTGGTACTATTAAAAACTCTACCTGAAAATGGCATGAATGAATTCAGATATCGGCTTGTACGACATCTAAGACTCCTCAGTCTTTTACCCAATCTCATGTACTGGTAATTGTGATTGAGAGGTGGATTACTGTTTTGAAGTATACAGTCAACTTCATTCAATACAGCAGCGACACATTTTTCTGCAAGATCAATTTGAACTGCAAGTCTCTAATAACTCATTAATTTACAATGAGGAACTCATAGCTGGAGTTGTCTTAAATCTGCTAAAGCTTGCAGGAAAAGTCATAGACAGAAGCACAAGATTGTACGCTTTTATCATGTTGAAGTGTCATGACGCACTTCGAATAGCAGCAGAGTAGTTATTAGCCTCAGCAACATGCCGCAACTGTAGATATGTAGAAGCATCAAGATGCATGAGAATAACTTTAGTGAACGGGTTATGTTGAATTTTTCAATATGTGTTGACTAGTACAACAAATGTACAAAAATGAACAGATTTTTTAAACACATAAAGTACAAAAAATACTTCAAACAGATAAAATGCCCTCAGCAAGTTTCTTATCAAAAAGTAACTTTAAATTTATTTATATTCAGCACACTTTGAACAAGGTAGCCCTTGGCTTTTCCATAAAAAAAATCCCACATAAGTTTTAAGAGCAAACAGATGGTGTCTTCATACTTCTTAAGCAAAAAAGTCATCCTCTTTAAAAAAAAAAAAAAGAGAATTTTTTTCTTAAATAAAAAAATGAATCCTTTTCCCAAGTGATGAAGTTGTGTGATTTGCTCACTAACAAAACTGCACTCAGGTCAAAGATATGGGGTGTCAACATACATAGGGTTCGGTGACTGTGGTAAGAAAAGAAAAATGGGTACTTAACATGACTTAATACAAGGGCTGTTTGAAATTGCCAGTGAACTCTTTATGCGGGTGAAGGCAACATGGAAAATGCATTCAGAGTAATAATCCACTATAGTATCAGCTCACTCTGGCCTTAGATACACAATTAGCACTAAGTGCAACATTGCTGTCCATTATATTCCATATTTTTACATACTTTTTGTCTTTAGATATGAGCTGCTCAATTATACTCTCAATTTTGGCATTTTTTGGTTAATTCCATCATAGTTGCATTCGCAATGCATGAACACTTTCCACAATTTGAGACATTTAATTTGGGCTACATTTTCTGTTTCAACACTTGGTTTATCGAGATTGTATCATTAGCTTGTACAGAATAAGCACAGACATTCTATACATGTCACTGAAACCTTACAGCCACTTTGCTACACCGCACGCTGAGAATGATGAGGGCAGATTTTTGTTGGTTTTGAAAAGCATTAACATTCATTATGGTCGTCGGTGGCCTTCAACGCTACCTGCAGTTCAGTGTGCCACTGCAATGAATCCTTTCAAAACAAGGGTTCGCCACCTGTCAGCGCCATTATGTTGAAGTTCACCTCACTTGGGTCTATGGCCATTATTTTCTTGCACACTCCAGCAGCATCCTGATAACAAAAACACCCAAAGGTCAAGACGTTCTCATCAAGGCATCATGAATGTTACACTTTTTCATTTTAGCACTAGGTACCAGAAACAGCAATGCATAATATAAAATTTCAACTGCTGCAACTGATGTGCACTATACGGTCAGGGGGCAGTCCCAACTAGCTAGGTCTTTGGCAGTTGAAGTGTTACAAATGGAAATGTACACTATTTTTAGAAAGTCACACAATATTAACAATCAAATAAAGGAGTGGAGTTTGTAATTTTGTGCAAATTTGTTAACTATTTCTAAAGTTACTTGATTCAAAAGTTTCATGGTAAGAATTACTGATAATTCTACCTCATTTTTCTGGGAAATGAAATCATTTCAAGTTTCAAATGAGGCAAATGCACTGGTGGAAAGGTAGACCTTTATGCAATTCTGATGCATGTCTTACCTTCAGGAAGTTTTCAGGACTTGTTTTACCATGATTGATTGGCGCGGGCTTGCGCCCATCCAGCTCATACAGTGACCCCTCAACATTGACCAAGGTTATGAAATGTGCCGACACCTTGTCCTCAGCCGCGGGTGCCTGTCAATTAGTCAAACGAAGACAAGGGTTTCCTTTCAACAGGCAAAGATTGCTTGATCTTACCTTGAGGAAGGAATCAGTGCTGGTTTGGCCATGGTTCACAGGAAATGGCTTGCAGCCATCTAGTTCATACAGGGACCCATCTACATGCACCAACGCAACGAAATGGGGCTTTACAGACTCTTCAGCTGGTGGTGCCTAGGTGTAAGTAGAATTGGCATATTCATATACAATGACACAGTCATATTTCTTAATCAACCCTGGAACTATGGGGCACAGAGGGGGAACCTCAGGAACCAAGTGTAAAGACTCAGTTTCTTAAGGTCAGGCTGAAGGGACTTGCCAGCGACAAGTGTTTCTTGCAACTTCAAATTAGAACTTAATTCAGCTGCATGATATTACTGGTTCACTATGACTAGTGGTGAAGCTACCAAGAGTTCAGATAAGTTGGCCCGTTGTCCACACCTGTGTTTGCCCTTCCTGGGCACTAGAACTGTGTGCCTCACAAATGCCTGCATCATTCTCCAGGCAAGCACCTCGCGCCGCTCCATCCATGCCCTTGGTCTTGTCAGCAAATTCTGAAATGATTCCAGCTGGAGAAAAATAATCATCCAAAAAAAAAAGGTGAATGTCTACTTTCAGCAAAACCTAACAAATCTAACCTTGAGTTTCTCTCAAGTATGGCCATTATCTCCTTCAGAGGGTATCTACCAATCCTTGCCTTTTTGTTTCAAGAGGAAATTCGGGCATGCAACTGCGATGGACTGGCCAAGTAAAAAAACACCTCAAAAGTACAGTTTCATTTGAAACATTTTTCCTACACTTACAGATAATCTGTTAACACTTTTTGTACAGCAACCAAAATTATACATCCTCCAATATGTTTTAAATACATGTAACAAATATTTTAAAGTGACCTCTGAAAATAAAGTTGGGTGAACTTTAACAATTCCCTGTAAAAAATACAGCAAGGACAAGCAGATGGACACAATTGCTCACCCAGTTTGAAATCATTTTCATTTTGATTGTTCAGCACAGCATGGAGTACCCCGATTGTCCCGCATGCATTGCCAATGGTCTGCTTCATGAAGTACACGCTGCCACTCACTTCTTGGCCCTCCTTTTCAATTTTGGCACACATTTCTTCCTCGGCACTTTTCATCTATGTAGAGAACAAAGAGTGAAAAGAAACAGTGCTGCCATTTAACGCAATATGCACATCACAGACTTTACAAAGAACATTTGAGTTATGTTTGAGAGATCACTAAAATGATAAAGGAAAAAGTTAAAAGACAATTATTTATCAGGTAAAGCAACGGAGAGATTAACATACGACAGTGGTAATGTAACATGCGGGGTAAAATTGAGGCAATGAAGTTTAAAAAGGGGTAGGAAAATAAACAACCGTATGGTTAGACTGCAACTCAAAAGGATCATGTAAACTACTGTACAATTGACATTTTCAGATTGCTGGGTTTACCAGTGTCTGTATAAACTACAATAAATTTGTACTGCATAGGGATTCCACTGCTCTGGCATTGGATATTTACATAGGGCTTAATGACACCTGAGAGTTGGTTGAAAGGTTGTTGATTTGAGAAGATCCTGGACACGTTTTCTAGCAAAAATGTAGCCCGCTTATTAGGGTTAATAAGTACATAGAACTATTTTACCTTGTCACCCTTTGGGAAGAGAACAATGAGGGCCACAACAGGCTTTGATATCATGCCAAGAAGTTCATCATCCAGCCCAAGCACATCAACAAAATGCCACTTGTTGGGTACTCCAAGTGTGTGAATGTACTGTGAAAAACATAAGGCACATGACCCATTAATTCCTGAACTGCCCTATACTCTCCAGGTAACTAGTAAAAGTCAAATTACATTTCGCCAAACATCTTTTAAATTTCATTGCCAAATGCAACATCAGCAAATTTGAGGTCAGTAATTCAACAAAAACCCAGGCAGGTCAGGTCTCTGTAACCATTTTATTTTTTCTTACATGTAACAGTTTTATTTATTCCTTTCTTGCCCTCTTCTCATTTGTTTCCTTTTTTAAAAGGCTTTACAAATTATCCAACTAGGGGCCTATATAGCAATACATGTACATAATATGCTTCACAACACTACTTAGTTGTCTATAATCTGTTCTATGTAGTTTATAAATTCTAAGGACACGGGCACTATATATACATATACAAATGCAACTTGCAAGCAGGGAAGTACCCAAGCTATTCAGGTGCAAGATGGGGAATTCCCTAACAAATTCCATTGCATAAACCTTTCTTCAAAGGCATGTTAGTTTCCTGGCTTGGTAAATTTACTGATGATTGAAATCTACTGAACCAGAAGTTGAGCAGATGTTTGGCTCACCTTTGTCATAACCTGCATTGTGAAACAAAATCGGGGAAAAGAGGAAAACTGCAATTACATATAAGAACATATTACATGTCATCTCACTGGTGCTTTAAAAGATCACGACATCCAAACAAATATTATGAACAAAAGATTCTATGCTGTAGAGTGAGAAAATTGATATACATTTGCAAATATGCACAAAATGTTCATCGTCATATTATTATTTATTAAAGCAAAGAAATGCAAATTTAACCATAGTCAGGTAGTCATTTTAGTAAAGTGAAATACAACTAGAAAATCATCCAAACATTTCACCCCAGATTTAATATATAAATACTTCTTATCAATGACATCTCTTTCCCAGACCTAAGTTTACATGCATTTTTATTTATGCCTGGGGCCTATGTCATGTCAGAACAATCAAGCTGGCTGCTTGCCAAAATGTAAACACAGCGAAATTAGGTAAGCAAGTAAGTACCATGTGCATCTCATTATCTGATTATAGAGGAACGGTCTGCGGCACCCTCAAAATCACATTATCCGCCAAAGCGAATGGGTTGCAACATAAATGTCAACTGCCATGGGTGACCAGGCATTTTGGCAGGAATGTCTAAATAAACATGACATAAACTCACAGACCAGCAGCATTGTCATGTCACGATAGTCAGACGCAAAGTTGCAAGGTTATCGAAAGAACTTTACCTCGGGGTTTGACTCCAAGGGAATCCAGTGTGGTTTTACAGACATTTTGAGTCCGTGTAGATGAGAAATAGGAACAAAAAGTCACTTTCACGAGCGGCCGACGACGTAACAAGGTGTGTCTAGCCCGGATCCTGGCGACGACAGGCATGCAGCGCAGACGTAGACGGGGCGCGGGCGTGCAGCACGATTTCTAGATAGAACCTTGTGCGACGTGCATCAATTATGCACAAGATCAGTGCGTCGCCGGCCTGCACGAATAAACGAAACTACGCCCTCAAGAGCGCATAATTTGTCATAATCATTTTAAAGGGATATACAACTTTTTCCCGCTCGTTTGCTTCATCACTGGCTCTGATGAGCGCCTATATAATCTCCGTCTGGCACCATGATAAACTTACCGTGAAGTTGCAGCTCTGACTCGGAAGTTCAAGTTGTCCCTGCTTGCACAGCCGGCCACTTAGCCAGCTCCCTTACAGCGGTCTTTTCATTTGTTTGTTTGGGCTTATTGCCCAGTTTCGTGGTTTTTTTTTTTTTACCAGTGTTGAGACTCGGCTTGTCCGATTTGCTAACTTAATACCTGTTGTGCCCCCAGCCAACACTGCCCTTCTCCACATAGAACTTCAGCGTTGCTCTGAGTCCAAATTGCCCTTTTGGAATCTGTGTGATTAAAAGATAAATGATAAATGCCCTTGTTGGGATGCTGATGCAGTGCACCTAACCCTCTTCCCACTCGAAAAAGGGAAAACCCCGTGGCTGATTATTGTCACCGTCAGGGGCTAATCTGTTAACAAGGTTTTCTTCTGCTGAGAAAAAAAGTCAGCAAACTTTACATAGGAATGTGGCCCGCGACAATCCGCCGAGCTAAAACAATTTGACTGTTTAATACTAAATCTTGTGGAGCCAGTGCCTTTTTAGGTATCAATCAATCATAATATCAAACTGAAAAGAGGACTGAGTACATTTTATGCAAAAGTCTGGCTCAACATTGACTGTACAGATAGTCTACATGCAGGGAAAACTTACGATACTTGTGGTTCAGTAGATTTATTTTATGAACTATGACGGATGGACAACTTGATGTCTTCAAGGCCGAGAAAGGTGAATAGAGTTGACGTAGTGGTTCTCTCCCCGCCTTCCAAATCTGCGGTCTGGGTTCGATTCCCACTATGTGGATTGAGTTTTTAGCCCTACTTGATCTTGGGTTTTACCCAAAATATTCTTCTGGGGTTTTCTTCCCACCTCTAAAACTATAAGCGCTTCTCATTTCAATGTGGTTGAGTCTCCAAATGTATGAAGTTGGCACATTTCTTGGAGGAAGAAGAAGAAAGCCGCGCAGGTGTGAAATGGTAGTCAGACAGCTTTATGTATCCCTTTAACGCCGCCTTCAAATTCTTAAATGGGCAAGTTTCGTAATCCGGCCATTCCCGTTCAACGTTCACAATTAATAGCCAAGATTGTATAGCGGCGGCGCTATACAATCTTTGCACAATAGTATAGTAGCTTGCAGCGTCATGCGTGGGTCAGATCGGTCGGCAGTCGTTTCATCTTTCAGCCCAAATATCGAATGAAATGACTGCTTTGACAGTACGCTTACAACACGTCAGGCGATGACTTCTTCCCATAGTCCAGTCGTAGTAAAAGCTGGCGTACTTGGCAGATAATTAGTGGAATCACTGACCCGTAACGTTTGGTGAACTTTCTTTTTGATGAGCGGAATGGATCAACAGAATGAAAAGCAGTCAGCCAGTGATTCCGACGACATGGACGGTTTCGTCGCAGTTGAAAAACAGCGCAGAATATTCAAAATCATCGTGATTGGGGATTCCAATGTCGGCAAAACATGCCTGACCTATCGGTTTTGCGGAGGCAAATTCCCGGAGAAGACTGAAGCGACCATAGGGGTCGATTTTAGAGAGAAAAATGTAACGGTGGATGGAGAAACAATCAAGGTAAACCAAAGAACAACTCAATATTAAACTTAACGTTAGACCATGGAAGAACACGAAGAAGGCAAAGACAGTCTTTGCATGCCATATTTATTCCACATACATGTACATGTGCAAAGTTAACACCAGGCCTGTATGCATACACAGGATCTTACCACATGTACATGTTGGCTTAATTACTGAGGCATATTGAATGTCATAAATGGTTACTGATGCTGCATAGGTCTAGTAGTATTAGCAGTAGGCCTAATCATGATAATATACGATCAATTTCTTTAACATAAATGGGTCATTTAGTGTTGAACTGTTTTATTTTTTTGAGCTTGGATTACTGTATTTACGTGTACATAATGTCTAAACATGTAGTTGCCATGTCCTTTCTAATTTTACCACATTGTGAATTTTGGTGGTTTTTCACCAGAAATGGTGAAATTTGGGACCTGTCAAATATATCGGTACATGTACATGATGTATAGTAATGATGGTCATAGGTGTTACATGCCTTTCAGTCGACTTGTCTCAATTACAACTGGACAACAGCTGAACTAGTAATGCATCTGGAAGTTAAATGAATTAGTCGTCATGCTGCCGCATGCCCATTGACCAGTGGAGTCAACCTCACCTTGCAGCTCTTGTTTGATGTACATCATGGTGAAATCTCCTCAGCCCAATTTCATAGTGCTGCTTACTACAAGCAAAAAATCAGCCCTTACCATAGCAGAAGACTCTGTGCTTAAGGCGAAAGTTTTTCACAGGTTAGTGAGAAATGTTGGCTTGTGTGCATGCATACTTCTCGTAACTATTAAAGGTTTCTACAGGTACATGTATGCTTAAAAGGGTAGCACAGAATTTTTCTGCTGGTGCGGTAAGCACAGAATGAAGATGCGCAGAATTCTGAGGTAAGCAGCGCCATGAAATTGGGCCCTGATTTATCTTACATGTACACATGCTTCCTAAATTTTTCTTGCTGCAACCATGGAGATAGGAATACCTACCCCCATGCTGCAACCCCTAAGTTTGTGTTAACATATATGTTCTGAAACTTGACCATAATTTCCTACAATTACCTATAATTTAACTTTCTGGAAAAGTCTGGGATTAACTGAAATACTACTGTAAACTGTTCCCCAAGAAAACTTGCATACAGAAGAATCTCTAGAATTCATGCCGGAACAGGTTTGCATCCATAGCAGGTTGATCATGCAAGCACCTATTGCAGGTCTGAGCTTTTTCAGTCTTGCAGTCATACAAATCCAGTATCCACCGACGCTTGAGTTGACCGTTTCAAGTTCTTCCCCGCCTGGCCAGTACAGTTCAAGCAGCTTGCTTAAACTCCCCTATGCATTATCAGCAGTGATCACTGTTACTGTGCTCACCTGAGCATGTACGATCACCCAATCATACATGTACATGTCCTTTGATACTGCTCAGTTGTACAAGACGAGTTTGCAGAACGTTACATGATATATGTATGTAAATGATAAGGGTGCTGTCAGGAGTATGGAATTTTGCATATGGACAACACTAATGTTGTCCATCAATGTTCAAATGTTCTAAAAGCTATCAGAAAGTGGTAAGTTGTCCTCAAAAGTGAAATTTAGTTGAGAAAATTCTGAAGCATTACATAGAAAACACCTTGGCTTTTGCAGAGAAGTCTCATAGGTTTGTGGGCAGGGGCATCAAGTGTTGAAACTTGGAACTCTGCATAAGAATAGCCACGAAAACAAACCTTTAAATATGTACATACCCGTATGTAGCTGTCACAAGTTAACTGTGTATCAATTGTGACTTAGTTTTGAGTTTTGGCCCAGACATAATTTCCTAGCAATTGTGAAGCCAGAATAAGGCTCTGGAATATCTGAACACTGACATCTGTTGTTTACATGTGGAGTTACTGTGTTGGAGTAACATGATTGAAAGCCATTCTGTTATTCAAAGGAAGGAGCATCAAATTTCATTCGTAAGCGGCCATTTACTGTCAGTTCATCCCAACTTTACATGTAAACTGCCTGAACACTCCAAGGAGTGTAGGAGGTATGCAGCTTCAGTACATTTCCACAGTCATCTGGTTTTCAAACCTCCTTGGTATTGGTCTTTTTAACTGTTAAGCGCTGTGCATAGAAGTAATCCATGGCTGTTTGCATAGGAAGCATTCCTTTAAAAGAAGTCCAGTCATTTTACTTCAAGTGTATTTTTCTTAGTAATTATTTTATAATGTTGGTATGCACTTGTGTTGCATGCAAGAGGAGAATTTAAAGGCAGCTTGTATACATGTATATTATAAATCAGGAGCATTTTAAAGGGTAGCCGCAACAGATTTTCTTAGACACAATTTTTCTGCAACCTCGTACTCTTCTTCAATGTATGAATACTCTTCAACACTCCCATTTGGTTAAATGCACTGCAAAAGTGCACTTTTTCAAACAATTAAAAATTTCCATGCTTTCATGGACCACTGAGGGCACTGTTTCTGTAATGTCATGATCATCCAGGGAAGGCAGTTTATTGCATAGGTTTTTCTATTAAAATAGAGAACTTGGAATTTACTTACTGAAAACATTTCTCAGAAAAGGAATAGTGCTCATTTATTGCTATGCACATGAACAACAGTGAACCAGCGAAGAAGGGAAACATTAGTTCAGCAAAATCTACATACTTTTGTGTACAAACCAATATAACATTTAGGCTTTCTTCCCGGGATGACATCACAGTTTTGCTCATGAATATGGAAATAGTCATCAACATAAGAGCAAAAAGGCAGCAAAATACCCTTTTACGTAAATAGTGAAACAAAAGTTAACTGAGTGCCTCTTGGAGGTTTCTTCATAAAAATAAATTGATTGCAGTTACCCTAACAGGAAACACACATCATGAAATAGGGTTACATGTACATGGTGTATGGTTGTCAGCCTTTTTCGCATCAGTGTGGCTGGAAAAACACTCACTTAGTACATATATAATTTTGCATGACATTTTGTGCCATTTGCCAAAGAACATAATCAATGTTTTATCATAAATGTTGGAATATGGTGCACTCTACATGTATATTCAACTGTCTCCGTGTGTGGGCGGTTATCCATCCGAGTACATGTACATGTACATTTAACTGACCTTTGGAGGTGTTATATTTCGTGTATGTGTCTGCTGATAGTTTATGCTTTATTGATCTTGGATTATCTAATTGTGCATCTGATTTTTTTTTATTAATTATGAATTGCTATAGAAAAGCTTTTGTTGCATTTTAATGTACATAGTTTTGCCCTCCAGATTGTGCAGTCAAAAAGAGTACACAATATATAGTACATTCACAGGGCACTGTTAAGCCCTTGGCCATCCTCTAGTGTCTTTTTAATGGTATCGTATTTTAAGCACGGATTGAAGAAATACGTTTAACTGCTGGTAGGCAAAGATCTATGTGCATTATTTTTCTTGTTACACCATACACGAATAAGTTCCTAGAAAAAAGTCTTGATTCACATTTGTGATGCACACTGTGTGCGTGTTTAGAGAAGCTTAGATTCACTGTGTTAGTTTGGTTCAATGTAAATCTCTCAAATGGATAATACGGTTCATGCATGCAACAGGATGTCCTATACAACAACATGCACACTCTGGTGCCCTGCAATTGTCCTTGAAAATTCACTGGGTTTTTTTAGCCCTGGTGTCATCACCCAGGTAGCATACCTCAAATGGATTAGCACTCAACAGCACTTCCTTTAATTCAGTATGGAAAAGTTTGCTCAGGAATTGACCTCAGCTAAGGTCAGACCCACGGTACTAAGGCTGCCTATTGTGCACATTTATCACTGTTGGCAATAGTTATGCTTATATCAGCCATCCATAATAAAGAACCCACTGGTCAACTTTGCCAGCGTGCCTGGGCAGGTGTTGTCAAAATAAGTCCTTCGAAGCACACCCCACAAAGGGTTTAGGCTTTGAAAAAATAGGAATTTCAGTACCCCCCCAAATGAATGCATAACTGTAATTGTAACTTTGAATAGTTCTAGTCATTGTTGTGTACATTATTGCTTGGATCCTGAATATTTTGAGTGTGTTGGTCAAAGTTCATATCAACATGTACATGTGAACAAATAAATTTGTAATGTTTGCATTTTAACTTTTCCTGTGCTAGACTGCCATGAATGAGGACCGAAATTTTGATTGCCTATTTGATTTTTTAAATAAGTCTTGAATTACTGTACAAGTACACAAAGGAAATGGGTTGATGAAGTATGCATGTATGTACATGAAGGAATGGCTTGGCACTCACCGGTGTTTAATCATGTGGTGAAATGCATGTGACCCCAAAATTGGTATCAATTGTCGCAGTTGACTTTGGAATTCTACCCAACCAATAAATAATTCAGTCATTTAGTTTTTACCAGTAATCCCTGAGCGTACATTTAAAGAGCCATGGATGCATCCTCTTAAGTGTGTGTAGATTACCGGTAGATTATTTGACTTCTCTTCTCGTTGATCATATCTAAAAGAGCACTTCTTAAAACATTGCATCAACATGGACATGTACATGCTTTTTTGGACAACTGAGAGCCCCAGATGTTGCTGTGATGTTATTCTGAGAAGTCATGTTTTTTTCTGTGAAGGGAGTTTCAGTTTAAATTGTGAGCCTAAGATTTGCTCATTGAATGTTTGCCAGATAGGGTTGTTCATTAACTTAGTGCTTTGTACTCACGAGACAGGTTAATTTGTGACAGCAGAATATACCCAAATTTTAGTAACTTTGTTTGCATAAATGGCCACTGAAGTTCTTGCCTGAATAATGTCACAGTCATAGCCACAAATGTGATTGGCTCTGCAAAAATGGCCCTTGGGCCTTTGTGTGACAAATTGATTTTAAGTGATGTCCATGGATAGACAGGTACATAAATTTTAATAATGATTAAATTTTCTGTATTTTTGTTTACCTCTGTCGCACATTCTATTCCCGAGAATAAAAATTTAGATTTGATCTCTGGCAGATGTATGGAATGGTCTTTACATACAGAGAACTAGCATGACTTAAGGGCCTTTCTTTGCAGAGGAGGTCACAAAACAAAATGTTAAAGATCACTTGAGTATGTAAGTTTATGTAAAAAGTCACACTGTGTGGGCCCCTCATTTTAGCAAGCATGGTGTGTTATGATGGCTGACAAGTCTAATGAATCCATTTCCAATACGTTTTTCTCTCCTCATTCCACGCACAGCTTCAGTTATGGGACACAGCAGGCCAGGAGCGCTTTCGCAAGAGCATGGTGCAGCACTACTACCGCAATGTGCACGCCGTCGTCTTCGTTTACGACATGACCAAGATGTCCACATTCGAGGGCTTGCCCAACTGGATCGACGAGTGCGACCGCCACTCCCTCTCGCCGGACATCCCCCGCATCATGATCGGCAACAAGTCGGACATTGAGGACAAGAAGGTGGTGGCCACCAGCATTGCCCAGAAGTTTGCTGACGCCAACAGCATGCCGCTGTACGAAACCTCAGCTAAGATGGACGAGGACGCTGAGAAAGTGGACCACATTTTTATGGATCTTGCCGTCAAGCTGAAGAGCTACAGACCCAGCCTACCACTGCCCTCGCACTATGGACAAAAGGACAAAGAAGAGAGCCGGTCCACGGTTAGGCTACCCTCGTCCCCAGCTAGCCAGAAAAAGGACAGTTGCTGCCCCTGCTCAAGTTGAGGTTGAGATGGGAATTCACTTTCTTCTGTGGTTAGTTCCAGTCGAAGGGATTTTTTTCCACTCTCTCCCCATGACTGTGTTTGTGCTGCACTCCCTTTGATGGTGTATACATGTACCTGATCACATGTGACAAGCTTGTATTTGAGTTGCTAATTACATGCAGTAGAGAAATTTGGAAAGAACGGACGTACATGTACATGCAGAAACTGTGCGCTAGGGAAACACAGTGACATGTTGGCACATTTACAGTGTAATGTTTATGTCGGTGTGGTTTACACCTGCATACATTTACAGTACATGAACATGTACATCCTCGATTCTTTTATATACATGTACGTACGTGGTAGTGCTCTGTTGAGTGTGGCTCAAATGGCCTCCAGAAATGTCATGCAGTGCATATACGTATCGTGTTGCTTATGGCCGATTATAAGCTGTGTTACACTGGGCAAGTAACTCTTCTGAGCAGTTTTCTGCTGATTAGGAGCTCCATAGCATTGGGCCCAGGTTTGTTTGTCTTTTTGTTGGGGGGGTGTTTGTTCTGTTTATTTCTTTTTTAATTATGTACTTGTACATTTAAATGTACATGGCAAAGAAACAAGGAAACAGTTTCTCAGTCCAAACCCAGCTGACCCCCCACAGTTCTGTTGGTGTGTACTGTACAAGCAGTACACAGTAGTGTCCACCCATCACCATTGGTTCACCGAGCAGGGTACCCCGGGAAAACCTTTGAAGAGTATGGCCAATGTCCATTGAGCTTATAGCGGCTAGATGAAATGTGGCTGCTCGATCAGAGGCTGTCCTTTGAAAAAAAACTATCCATCAAGCCAGAGCTTATAAGCTCAGCGTTTTTTGTCCACAAGTAATCCCAGATTCAAGGTACAAAAATCATCAGTGCATTTCTTTGACTCGTTCTGTTGACCGTAAAAACTGTTTGGGATTTCCATTTGTGTAGACGTCACTGACTCTGTTGATTTCCTGTCACAAAGCAACCAGTCATGAGTTCATGCAGCCTAGAGTACAGTATAGAATTTGCAAGACTAATCAGTGTACATGTACATGTACAGTACATGTGCAGTTATTAATATACAGTACATGTAAGCCTTTGTGGCTTGAAGGTTAAATTACAAAGCATGTTTCTCTGGATTTCAGGTTTTCATCTGCGAATCAAATGTTTTCATTAAGACCAGATTAGACATGTACATGTAGTACTGTACATGTACATGTATGTAAGGCATACAGCTACTGTTATTACTGTACATCTTTCTTAGGCGTTCCCATCTTTCAATCACTTTTTGTGGATGTACATTTGCAGAGCACAAATGTAGTCTGCCCAAATCTGACGTGTACACAAACGTTTAGCATGTAAGAGTAGAGATGATGTAATTTACCCAATCAAAGCAGAAATTGGATGAGCTTTTTAAATTTGGAAATCATTTTTTTTTCTTTTAGGAGTCTCTCTCTTACATAACTTTTTAAACTGTGTCCATATATAGGGGGCCTCAAATGTACTGATTGTTGGAAATCTAGTTCAGAATATTTTCTGAAAAATTGGCCTTTTGCATGTGCACATACATGTACCAGTACATTGCACTTGTGTGCCTTGTATTCAATATTGTATCTTCTTTGTTGACAGGTGTTTAAACCTCACATGCATTTTTCATCATTTTGTTTTTGTCTGTTACAATACTCAGTCATTACATGTACATGTACATGTATTTCTCCCAGTCACCAAACTGTCAATTTCCTCAAATAGGCACAGGGGTAACTTTTTTTATCAAAAGAGGGGTAACTAAAAAAAACTTACTCAAGCCCTTAACAATCTATTTGCTCAGTCTAGTGAGACAATAAAATCCTTCTTACAAGGTACATGTACAGTATATAATGTAAATGCAGGCCGTAATGTTTTTGGAAAAAATACAGGGCTTGCTGTTATTATATTTACCGGTACATAGAATGTATTATTAAAGTAATATGCTAGTTTCTGCAGGGTAGTGTTATGAATGACAACTTCAATCTTTTTTGCAGTTTCACTTTCATGCAGTCATTATCATTCCATACGTATTCTTCCAATTTGCATTTGGTGTTCCATTTTTTTCCCATTAGTTTGCCAAAATTTATTATTTTTTAGTTTTGCATGAAAAGATGGCAGTTATTTTGTTCGACTTTCTACAAGTAAATTAGATGCTTTATGAAACCAAGCATTTCTTCATTATCATCATTGGTAATATGTGATACATGAAATATTAATTATTTGGACTTTTACAAAAAAAAGTCACTGTTAAACATTCACACTGAATCAGTGGAAACAAGTGTCTTGTTACTGCTGAAATTTGTGACAGAAATAATTGTGAGTTGATATTTATTTATTTGAGAAGGACATATACCAAATTTGTGTTGAACATAGAGTTTGTGAAAAAGATTTAGTTTTTAGTAATGGATGTTATCTTTTTGAGGCAGAAACGGACAAAATATTATTATGTTTAAAAATACAGTAGTTTCTATACTTGATTAGCACACTTTTCGAGGGCCAAGTGCAAGATTTGTACACGTGTTTGACACGTGGTTATAATCAGCTTGTTCCTCTAACCTCTGGCATGACTCTGCTTTTTGTTCATATGTACACAGACTGCAGGGGTCAGATAATTTCACTTACATGTACACTGTACGGCAGAAGTACAGTGTACGGCAGAAGTCCTCAGTGGAACAAAAGGAAATTTGTTGTGATGAGCTTGTGCTGGTGTAGAGAAAGTGCTTAAACCGTTGCCAGGAAGAAATAATCTCATACACAGCAGTAAGGGGTTCCTATCCTTAACAGAGAGCTTACAATACGTAATTCGTCGTGACTGTTAAAGGTCAAGTGTATAAACGGCTTGAAGGATCTTCTTATACTGAAAACCTCATCACGATAAGTGCCTTATGATGAGATAAGTACGGTACCGGTACCTTGTGTCATGGCACTCTGTCCAACCAACCTCAAGTCGGTGCTCCCTGAATAAGAAATGAAAAAGCTACATGTACAGTGTATGTCAGTTTGTACATGTGGCTCATATAATTATGTCGTTTGGTGTGCCTGACCAGTGCCTTTGGGCTTGAAGAAATTTGTTCCCAAGTTTGCCAGCATCTGCAGGTGCCAGTACATGAACATGGGTTTTCATGGGTCATTGATTTTATTTTTAACTGGGAAACGTGTATTGAAGTAAAAAATGTGTGGAAATAGGAGCCAGCTTCCAGCCTTGCTTTAACTGAGGTGTGGCATCGTAGAAACTCCTGTTCCTGTACCGTACCGGTAGCCCACCCCTTGCCTTTGATGAATACACGCTATACAGTAGGCATTTTTGCAATCTCTTCCTTTGGTTTTTATGTAACTTCCATGGAGAGAAGGGAGAGAAACGGATGGTCTGTTCAGCCCTACAGTCTGCTGTCTTTTCATGACTCTTTAACATGTGTACACTTTTATAGTGTTTTATAATGTGGGTGATATTTTTGCTGGTACACAAGGCTACCATCAACATGTCATGTTTGCAGTCAGTTAAAATCCTTTGACTTTGGTGGGGCGTTATTTCATTAGGAACACGCAACCATATTTTTTAAAACCATGCTTACTTGAACATGGACAGTGCAGTGCACACTGATATGAGGTACCTTCAGTACATGTACATGCATATCATTTTGTGTGCTTGTGTATGCATCATTCAGACGGTCATTGTCAATTGAGTACATGTATATGAATCTTTCATGCATATGCAAATAGATTTTGATTTGACACCTAATCCCTCGATCAGCCTGCATGTCTGAGTTGGTATACCGTTAACTATTGATAATGTAGAACTTAATGGAAATTGTACTAAACCAGATGTGAATGGATAATGTACATGAATATTGTTTTGTACCGAAAAATGATTAGTTAGTGGAATTTCACCGTAGGTGGAAAGCCCAAATTTATGCATTTATTTTCTAGTGGGCCTAAACAACAACAAAAAGTCTAAATTTCAAGTGATGGTTGTTGGGAACAGAATTTGCGCGTTATTGAACTATTAAAATGCAAGATTAATTTAAACTGAGCTTCATCACAACTGGTGTGATCACTGGTGAATAAATTGCATAACACATGTACAAATATAGGCGGCAAAATAATACCCTAATGTTTAATTGACGAAAAACCCCAACACTGAAAGTGTGCGTAGAGTCATATCATATGGCATATTTATCTAACGTGTATTTATTGAAACGTATTTTGAAATTATTGTAAACACTTGTTAGGAAGTATCTGTAAGTTTGCCCCCCCTCCTTATTTGATGAGATCTCTCGTAAAATTGTCTCACGACAAGCAATGGTAGACATGTTCCAGAATGGCCAATATCACACAGAGGTTCCATGATTATTTTTCGTGCCATATAAAAGCCTGTATTCTTCACATCTCATTAGGCTAACTCATTTTGGCAATCAAGCCTTGCATGTTATTTTGTGCTTATATAGCACAGAGATGTGAGGGGCCTCTCAGATAATAGGAAAAAGAAAAAGCGAGGCCAACAAAGAGGAAATGGGATGAAAATCAATAATTTGCTTGAACATACCTAAGAATTGACCCCTTTCCACTGTTTAAACATGTAATTTATTATTTTGCCAGTGATGAATGTTCTGCCCCCTCCCCTAAAGCTCCTACCCCCTCCCTCCCATCCACCCCCCCCCCAAAATATTGGCGACACTCACAGGTACAGGTGTATTTGTGGGAGGAAAAGTGTACCAGTACACCAGAGAAGCAGTGGTAAAGTGAACATCTCAAGGGACTAAAATGGTTTCACATCATAAACCTGAATCACTTCCTGTTGTCTTTGTGTACATGTTCATATATTTCACACTATCCAACCCTTGATGAACCTAAAGATGGGTAGCTTCTCTTGGGACGCAGCCCCTGTCAGGGCCAGAATCAAGAGACTTTTCCCTTGTTGAAAATCAGAAATGTGGAACAGGATAACTTGTCGACCTTCATCAGATCATACTTGTGATTATTTCAAAAAGCTTAATCAAGATGATAGTGCGCAAATAGGTCTTGTGAGTGTGTCTGGCTTTCATGTTGGGTATGGGCGGCTCAGTGGGACTAGTGTTTGTTCCCAGTGAATAAATTGCAAACATTTTGATCTGTTACATATGTTGCTTCCAGAAATATTTCTGTATGTACGTATATGTACAGTACATGCCGGAAACAAGATGTACTATATTTTTATATCAGGGCAGTTTAAGTCCTATTTATGCAATTTCTTTATAAGGGCAAGCATTAGGTTTTGGCAGTAGTTGTACAATGTACATGGAGTGTGTGAAAACCAAGTTAGTTTCCCTCTATCTGGAAATAGCATGTGGCCAGAAATATCATGTGGCATATACAGTGTAATAACATGTGGACAGAAATTACATGTGGCCAGAAATAATGTATGCCTGTAGAGGCCATTGGCAAGCAGCAACCCTTCCCACAGACACGTGTCTCTACTGTCCACAACCACGGAGGAAGTTATTCTTCCATGCCTATGGGGCGCTGTTTGTAATTTTGTGCTTTGTTTTTTATTTGGAACAGTTGTTTTGTAAAATATTAATTTTGGCCCAGACGGCGCCCTATACATGCTACAACGAAGCAATTCAGACACAGCTCTTCTTACGTGTCTCATTAAAATATGTGCCTCCATACACAAGAACAGTAGATGGTATTGCACATGTACATATACACATATGTATGTGTACTCATAGAGCTGGTAAAGGGCTCAATGTACATGTATGTGTGCCAGTGTTCAATGGAAATATGGCTGAATGCCAAATGTTCAACCGAATGTGTACAAGCATGCAATAAGAGTCCCCATGTAAAGATGCTGCATGAGTGAAATGCAACCGAGCATGGGTGTGTGGTTGTTTTTACATTTTTTACCACTTAACTTTGAAAATGTGCACCTTCCATATCCACTTGCGACTGAAGATTACTTTTTGTGTGGTAAGTTGTACTGAGACAAGCAAAAGTATGCATGTGTGCAGATGAGATGCTATAATTCAAACAGTAATGCAAGTGAACCAGCAAGTGTTGCATTTACATCCTCTGTGACAGGCTGTAATAAGGGAATAAATATGTGCTTGGCCGGTCTTAAACATGCGGTCTTAAACGAGCGTTTAATGGGTGTGTGCCTGCGGCTCAGACACTAGTTGCATCCAGTCTCCTGAGCTGGTCTCAAACGTAAAATTTCATTTCACACATACCAGTTAACATTCATGTTTATACCTGCCCCAAAGTCTATTTCCAGTTGTAGTGCAGTACAATCATGACTCCTTCAATTGGGGTTTTTGGAAGTGAATTTCAGGGTTTTTTGACACTGCAGTCTACCCTCCTGGTGGAGATTGAACTTGTCACCTTGAAATCTTGCCTGCTACTTACTTATAACAAATCAGGTCATGTTTACATTGTCAGTCTTTTATCAGTGGCTAAGCACTACACCTAATTAGCTAATAAAAAACTGGTTACGCCTTTTTGAGGGTTAACCCATTTGATTTTACTGTTTTGTTCTTGTAAGTGTATGTGCATAATATCACACATCACAGAACACGTTGATGGTCCTGCCGTGTCAGGTTAATTAGAGTGGGAAAAAATGCAACATAGCAAAAAGGCAAAGAGTTTTGAGTAAAACATTTCAATATTGCTGGACGTGTTCATTTATATTTATTGGCTCAGTTGGTTGTTAACATTTGTGTTGCAATTATGCAGCTCATACCATGAATGAATTCACTTTCTTGTATCACCCTAACAGTTGTCAGTACTCAAATTTTGATAATTGTTCACTCTCTGTATGAGTTAGGGTAAATTAGAATATAGGTTGGAAAGGTTCACCACCTATCCTTGAGTAAATTAACCTGTACAAGACACAGAAAACACAGTAAAGGGGGCCAGTGAAAGTAACGGTCATGTCCACCATGTTTCCCTGCGGTTTTTCCCACATCTTGAAAAATCAGTGTCCAATTTAATGTCAGTACTGGCAGATAGATTTGGTTCTGTTCATTGTTTTTTTATCATGAAAGGGAATAACAACTTTGTAAGAGAATGATGTGCTGTATTGTTTCACACAAATTACAGCCCACATACATGTACTGATTCACTTGTGTAACATTTTGTGTTGATGTGTTGAGCTTGAAACAATTGTGGAAATGTTTAAACCATCGAGGAAACATTGCTAAGGTGCCTGTGCTTTGTGTCATAATGAAGGATAGAGTCGGGGTTTTTCGTCTGCTGTGGTCAAGGCATGCATCAATACAGTTCAGTTGTTGAGTTCTTTTGTGCAGCTCTTATAGATTAGGTATTGTTTCTTAGAAAACATAGTGTATTTGTTTTGTTTCCCCAAAACACTGGAAAACAATCCTTAAATATCTCTATTGTTTTCCAGATTATATTTAGCTTTTTGTTTCATTTTTAAACAAAAGAATCACTACGTCTGTTTTTCAGGTAATTTTTAATAGTTGATATCAAGTTTATACTTCATTATGAATCACTAGCATGAATGTAAAGCATGACATATGAACGTAAAGATAATGCATTTCAAGGGCTTCAAAGAATTCTGATTAATGCAATCATTCATTCCCTGTGCACCAGTGTGTTAATGTTAACATTCAGTGGGAATAAATTAATTTTGGAAAAGTGACTCTTGAATCTTTGAGTATTATTTCATTGATCTTACAAGCTGATTCACTGTTTCAATTTGATATGTAAAAACACTGTGGTAATTGAAACAGAAACAACACAGACACAAGGAAACCAAAATCAACCAAGAACCAACTTGCATTGAAATCATCAAAACACTCAACAGTATCACCTATAATCTAAACAATGAACTGATATAGTTGATAAATGTAAATAAATTAGCATCCAGGCTTGCAAAAGTTCCTTTTTACTTCCTGTGAATACTTTACAAACTTGAAAACAGTACTAAAGCATCTTGTGTACCTTGGAATTTCTTTCCTTTTTTACTCTGATTCCTAAAACACTCTATAAAACTTTGAGATCAACGACACTAAAGGCAGGTAAATGCAAATATAGCAGTCTTGTTTCTCGTGTTTCAAACAATTAAATTTCCTTCAGACCGTGTTGGGTGTGATTGTAACGTCAGCCTAAGACACTGCAAACAGGTTTACACATAACCATTTTCAAAGCAGTTGTGCTCGATGAAGCAATAATGCAGAAATCTCAATGATGTACATGTATCATTTGAGCGTATTCTGCTCTTTAGAGCAAACACATAGTTACCAAGTCATACAGCAAGTAACTTGGCCAAACCCTCCACTTGAGGACTTATTTCCTGGGTCAACCTGTACACAAAGCAAATAGGACACAAAGGGTCAATTTCAGGACTTTTATACTATCGTATTGGCCTGGCACACTGGGTTGGGAACGTTTCTCAAAACAATTTCTTTGCTAATTGTGAAAGATTTGTTCGCTAATAAGCCACTGATTTCCATGCCAATGATGAACTGTGCTGGAGAGTGTAGTAAAGCAAGGAAAGCAAAATTAAATTGTTTAGGGGGTAATTTTTCAAACAGAACTGCTCACTGATCTGCTCTCAGAACACCAAACCATTCATGTTCTAATACATGAATTTCACACCAAAAGTTCACTTCCACACCATAGCACTACGAAATTGCAAGTGCCAATAATCACCCTCTTAAGTGACCAACTGGTCAGTGTTTGATGTCTATTGCATAACTTAATTTGCTAAAGATATGCCGTTCTTGCTTGTGATGGATCCAAACAATGGACGGCTAAAATTTTGCATCATGCCAGGCACTGGTCCGGAAACGGTTTTCCAAGCTCAGGTAAGTAGTGAGGAATTCTGGGAAGACTGTCTCGGTGATAAGTTGACGGAAAATGTCAGCTGCCACCAGAAGGCATTTGCTCTGCTCTGTGGTGCCGTACTTGGGGTTGTCCTGCATTTGTGCGTCAACAAATCGACTGCAGAGGTCGTTGACCAAAGTGTACGTGATGAGTTCATTGTTGTCTTCAAGTCGTGCCCTGTGGTGTATCCATTGCCACACCTGTAGAAAAATGATATGAGGAAGAAAAATTGTACGCTATCAATTCTAAAAGTTAAACCAGAACTTCCCAGATCCATTAGAATCCAACAGGCACTTTGGGGGATTTTAAGAATTGAGCTAGGTGGAGCCTAGCCATCAAAACATTCCAAGAACTTGATGCTCCTTGCAAGGTACTCGACAAAGAATGAATGCTAGGCTTCCTGCTCTGCAGATCTCACAAGATTGAGGAAATTGCCAGAATACCAAGGGAGGTGTTAGCTTATAATGAACTTCATAAAGGGACACTATAGGTGGCACTACTTGTCCCAATTTTCATCTGAATGTGCACAAACCCCTAACATTTTCATGGAAGAACACATCTGCGCACTGTGCATGGCAGCAGTGGTATTGCTCGTGGCATATGATGACCCCCATTCTATCCCCACCATGCACTGTGGTAAATAGTACATTTCCAACGTTAATCATGCTATGCTGTATGTTACGAGGCATGTAAACAATATTAAGTCAAATGTCACTCTCGTTTGTAAAAGAATGAATCGTGCACTGATATAAATTTGCACAATGTTGCTTTACTCATGCAGCGTCATGGGAAATGTCAACATTCATCTGCAGACATTTAATGCTGTGCATTGGGCACTTATTTACAAGGACTCGGTTCTGTGGCACTTGTGCAGCCGAAGTTGAAACTTTCAGCCGTAAGAAAAGTGCAGGTTTGATCTGACAAAGATATTGACAGCTGTAGAAGAATGTGCTCTTACCTGGGATCTGGATATCTCTGCCGTAGCTGAGTCTTCAATGGCACCTTTGTAGTAGAAATGCCCCTGTCCTGAAGAATTTCATAACAATGAAAAAAGTGTTTCCAACTTAGGTCTGTTTGCATTTTGTGGTATCACGTTCTCTTGTATTGCACATATGTGCTTGTGACTTAATTTATTAAACAAAAATTAACTGTGTTTACATTCATGCTGAAGTTTTTCAAGTCAGCAGAAATGCATGTGGTTACATACAAGTGAACAGCTGATATTTTGGTATGATAAATGCTGTCACTTTTAAGAAACAACTGAGGATTGAACTAAGTTCATGAATAATGCATAATTGATTGAAATATTTATGCTGATTTTGTTTTGAATACATATGAGTATTGTAAAGTTGAATGCATAAGATACACTGCACCTTTCAACCAAGACTCAATAAAGAGGACAGCAACGGCGATGTTGTGTTTCAATCCCCCAAACGTCACGCCTCCCTACACAAAGCAATCAAGTACATAGTGAAATTTTGTAACAGATAGTGGAACAGGTCTGTTAAAGAGATACACGTGCATAGATACATTTATATCGGATATTGTGACCCTGACTTTGTGTAGTCATTTTTCACGTGATCAAAATGCATATAATGTAATTTGATAATGCTGCCAGAGTTCACGCTACTATTGCAGATAAATTGCCTGCTGGGGATAGTCTGTACACCAAGTCAGTGGGAATGATTTAGGCAACTGCTAATTCAATGGCCCATTGAACTTTGTGGTCATGACCTTAAAACTATAAAGGCAAAACATGTTCTTTGGCCAACATTGCATCTCTTTTTACTTGTTGGAAACACATTTAACCAAAACATTTTTTCAAATGTACTCTCAATGTTTCCATTTAACATATACATGCAGATTGATAACTCTGGGAATTTGAGGACTTGTTATTAACGCATAAATTTCCATCATTTTATTCACAAAAAGCATCTTCGTAGGGGAAACCATGAATCGCAAAGAAAGTTCACAAGAATAAGTCTTCATTCTCTCTTTGTTCCTATCTGTCTTGTTTTTGACAAAATACAGTTACCGACGGCATCAGCAGTAGGTCCTCTTTTGTGACATTCACGTCTGGTCTGAGCACAGCATGCTGGTTGGCAGAGGGGGCGTACATCTCAAACAGCTGCCCAAAGAAATTGAACCACTGAAAGGTGAGTTGATCATACTGTGGAGGGTCTGGTTGATCACACTGATCCTTTCTTTACCATCGACCAGCGGGTCTGGGGTTTGAATCCAAACCATGCAGGCCGACATGAGGATTGCAAGTTTAATCTTGCCCGTCCTTGGTTCCTCCCGCCTCTCAGGTTTCCTCTCCTCTTACATTCTTTCTGCTCACAAAACACCACAGCACCACAGCACACAGTGCCTTATACATGCATATTATGCAGCACTCAGGGTGTCCTAAATTATTTTCCATTGTTTACACTGCCAGGGAAATATATCTTTGTGTTCCTGAGGTAATGTCACACTATACAACAAATCTTGATTCTCTGCTTAAAGCCTTTGTAGACACCACTTCAATCCCCAGTTTTCAAAAATCTAGGCTACTATTGCACAGACATCACATACAACTTTTGCAAACTTTGAACTTTGTTTAACTCTAAAAGGCAAACAGTGGAACTGAAATGGCTGTTCAGCGAGACACATTAAAAGCAACACACCTGGCATTTTGAACAATCAACAGCAACAAGTAGATCACTTGTCCATCACTAGGTTTTCTTCTTTGTTGTGTATTGTGATGAGCAAAGATAGTGTCTACTACAATTTCCAAACCTTGTTCCAGCTTGTTTACCTGGGGCAAATTCCCTGCACTGATCACAATCAGTGATGATTGTGGGAAGAAAATCTATTTCAAAATGGACACTGAAAACTTTCTTGCGCATGGATGTGCGTTGTTGGGCGTAAGTTGGGCTTAGTGAGACATGCAGAGCCATGGAGGGTTTTGACACACACTAGTCACTGAATCCAGTAGAGTCACGAACTGACTCCAACCAATTACGTCACACGTTAAATGAGATGAGTGATTGCGATACACCGTTTCGACAATGCCAATACAGACTCAAATGTCTTGTATTTTAATGTAAAAAGCAACCCTGTATATGTTCATCATAACCATAAATGTAATATATACATATATATTATTTACAAATTGTAGGAAAAAGGAAATATTTCAAAATTGTTGAGTAGGTCTTTAAATCTGTTCAATGAATCAGTACTTGTGGTTCTTTTCAAAATTACTATGCTTTCAGTTTTGCATCTATGAAAAGTCTATGAAAGGTCTCTGTAATCGTTTTTCTTTCTTTACAAGATAATAGTGCCTAAACTATGAAAGTGCTCTAAATATTTAAATTGAATGGCTCAATAATTACAAACCCTAAATGTATGGGAAAAAGAAACTTGGCTAAAGGTACATTGACAATGTGTTTTATGGGGGACTGCTCAGTAAAAGGGAAAGAATACTCAATATACATGTACCTGTTGCATGGGCTTGACAAGACGGATATCATACACCATGAATCCATCCACTCCAGCTTTAATTTCAGCCAACTTGGCTCTGCAAATTGCAATGAAAAGATGAATAAAACAGTGGAAACTCTCATTCTGTGGTTCATATGATCAAGCTTGCAATTTAAAGTTGTTTCTAACATCAACATTTACAAAATACAACTAGTAGAGTGTATGAAAAATACATGTTGAAATTTTCCCCCAGAAATGATAAGGAAAATGCTCAAGATTATGGGCACTTTTAAATAATTGAATCACCAATTCCTCAGTCATCTAATTCAACAGCCATTTAAAGGTCAGTCACAATGCTTTGATGTAGTAAAATGGTTATTTAACACGGAATTGGTCTGTGTGGTCCATATCATGACTGACACGGCAGCTTCTCTTTGCATTTGTCATTCGGGGAGTTCAGTTTCACTGTGAGAATGCTTGGAATTAGAAAAATGTGCCATTGAGGGCAGGTAAACAAATCAAGCAATCTGATGATGCGACAATACCATTTTCATCCCCCAGAGTTCCTTGACCTTGCGGCTGTAAAGGGGCCTTTATAGCACTTGGCAAGACCAGAGAAAAACTGGTTAAAAAGTAAGTTAGATGTCATTCTCGGAGAATGATCATGGCCATCTCCCTGAAGGTCATCAGGACCCTACTCCGGTTCAAATTGGGACGGCTCAACTTTATCAGACGGTTCAGTGTTGATCGATGGAAAAGCAAGTCCAAGTCCCTCTCACTGTCCGACCTCTTTTAATTCACAGTTAAGTGCGAGCAAGCCCAGCGCTCACGCAGGCAGGCACCACAATATAATGAAAGTCATCTAATTGCAGAGCCGTAGTGTGACGTCATCAAAACAGGCTTCTATTGGATGCTCCCAACAACTTTTGTTTTCAGTTTGCCTGATATGAAGGAGGACTTCAACTCGTGCTTATGAAGTCAGTAGCAATCTTTAATTTAGAGGACCTAAGGCTGACCTGCAAGCCAGATCCATAAGTTTGTCGTACTCTGCGCCTTGCATAGCAGGCAAGAGGGTAGCACTCATTCCTCCAGTGGCATGACAACCTCGACCATGGCAGGTTTGGATTGTCAGTGTCATGTAGCTGTTCAGGAAGTGCCTCTGCATGTTGACATACTTGCTGCGATCTGGGAGCACAAACTCTGGTCTGTTTCCTGACACAAAACAGGAATTGGTAACAAATGCCTTGATTCATAAGATACTGTGTAGGGGACACGTAAAACAGATATGTTTATTAAAGGTCACCAGTGTACCTCAGGTAAAGATTTCTAGATTAGATTCTGAACTGCACATCAGTGCTACAGCCCTTCTCAAGTCACTATTGAACGCGTGATGGACTGGATTAGATAAAGTCACATTGCCCTAATGCCAAAGAATCAACTACTACTGGAAATACTCAAAACCTGCCCTATGTTAACAAAAGATCATTTTATTACAGGTGGACCTTACCAAGTTTATTGATAAAAGAGGCAGAGTAATCCCAGATGCCACAGTTGAGGCCAGCGGAGTGGTAGCGCAGTTCGTGTAGGATCTCATGCATCTCAAATGCTGCAAAGACGTTCTCAATCAGCACTGTTGCTTTAATGGTGCCAGTTCTCAGTCCAAGCTGGGGATTAAAATGGATGAAATCTTTAAAAACTCCATCAGAGTCCATAAACTCCTCATGGTTGGTATGTTTTTCAAAGAGGAAAGTGAAGTGAGAGCAGTTGAGTCCATTTTTCAAGCCAAAAGTCAACAGGATTTAACCTGGAAGGCACTTATTTGTGAACCCAAACTGAAAAGGTACAATTCACAATTTTGTTGAAAACAAAAGTGAATGCACAGTTTGTAGCCCCAACCTACGTAATTGTATATTGATGTGTACATGTATCACATTGACTTTGGGTGTGTTGTTGGGATTGTTTTTTATTGTTAAATACTGCCCTTATTTTACATTTTTCAGTTTTATAGTCAAATATTTTTTAGTTCTACCTCATCTTCATATTGCTTTCTTTTCAACTAATTTCCAGCATTGTTGTAATTTACTTGTTGGTTGAGTAGAATCACAATTCCAATAAAAACAAAAGGTTGTCTGTAACCTAATATACACAGACTTGCAGAAGGAAATCTTTGCACCTACTTTCTCCTCAACAAAAGCAAAGATGTCTTTCCAAAGTCTGGCTTCTTTGTATCCCTCAAGCTGCAAAACCAAGAAAAAAAGTCAGAGAGTGTATTGAACTTTCATATATTTCTGTTCTGCCTTTCCTTAAACACACAACTAGGATTTTTATAAAGGCTGATTCGTTGTCAGTGGGATTGTGAACGTGAGCACAAATTCGAAACTATGATTTCACAGCTGGCATTTATTCTGTAAAGTTAAACTCACCTCATTTTCAACAAATTTTGCTGTGGATGTTTTGTCACTGTCAAATTGCTTCACTTTATTGAGAACTATGAATTGGCTTTTATCCATCTGATAAATTGGCCTTTGTCCATATGGACATCATCATTTGCTGTTGAAGAAATTTACCTTGGATAAGTAGAAATACGGCCCACTCTCCTTGGCGCAAAGGATCTTGGATGTATGAAACATCAACAATCCAAAGTCAAAGATGGGTCCGGGAACCTCCTTGCCTTTAACCTGAGAAGGGATAGTCATTCAGATCGGGGTGAACCAGCACAACGAGGTTTCTTAAAACCACTTTTAGAAAATGCAACATATTAGCTGCCAGGCAGAGGAGCATGTAAAGAAAATGTGCCATCAACTGATGCTTTGAAGACTACTGTGCTCCACTGCTACAATGATAAAATATATCAATATGGTGGTGAATCAAGGCCATGTGATATGGCCAAAACAGTTCACACCTGCTGCACAGATCTCTAGCTCCAAAGGTACCATTTCCTTATTTTATCACACTATCAAATATAATCAACTAGTTTCGATAACTTATTACATATTTAGTAAATCATAATATAGTCCAGCGGGCTTGATGATGAAGTTCTCCTGATTCTTTTTTCACTGGTTCCTAGATATAATACCCACCAGCATGTTGTGTTCCACCATATTCCATGCCCTGGGCCTCAGCATGAGTACAGGTAGGTTGTCAATGGACGGCATGTCAGCGTACAGCTTGCCATGAACAGCCTGGTAGATGTTGTACATTCCCTGAAGTTGGGTTTGCCATGTTGGGCAATGACCATCATCAAAATCTGTCTGCATGCAGAGCGAAAAATAATGAAACATATAAAGTAACGTTACAATCTACATGTACTATCGTGAGTTCACTCACAGGAGGAAGTCAGTGTGTAAGGTCAGAAACAATAGTCCACAGCGCGAAAGATTCATTGCTGCCATTGTTCCTTAGAAAATGCATGCAAAGGAGGCACACTGAGTTGTCTCAAGACACAAGGGAATACACAGTTACACCATTCAACAAATGAGCATAAAACCACATCAGTAAAATCTGTAAACCACCGTAAATTTTCCAACTTTGATCATATTTTTCTACCTGTATGCCCTGAGCACTGGATTGCAGTGCTTGCACAAAATGCCCTGTGTTGGCCGGAGACACATCACCGAGGTCAACATGTCTGTTCTTCAACCTTCTTGGGACTGGATCAACCTTCCAAGAGCCTGTCCTGATGCCACTTGTCTCCGGTGAGAAATCAGGGAGACTTCTGGACTGATCAAGGTGTGCCTTCTTAAGAATTCTGTCATTTAGCATCTGAGGGGTCAAATCAAGAAAATACTTACATGTAGATGGGCAGTTCAGAGAACAGTAAGTGGTGGTAAGAGACGATTTTAATGAACATACACCTGTGTATCGACAGTAACTGCAGGCTCTGGAAAACTTCTAAACACTACTTTCTTTTGCGTTTGCCCTTAACGGAGCCTACAGTAAAGAATCCTACATGAGCTTTGCCAGTGCAACGGAAAGAAATGATCGCAATCAAAAGTGATCCATCAAGTTCCCATAGGAAAATGCATGTGTGCTTGTTTACATGTGTAAATAAATGTGGCATCATTGTTTTAGGACTATTCAGAGTCAAACTGGTCTCCTGCAATCCCCTGCCATGTCTATTCCAGTGCCAGGCCAGATTAAACACCGGGTCACAACTTCACACGCACGGAAGTAAAAACAGTGGGAAAAACAGAATGTCTTTGTGACAACCTACAGAGCCTGAAATTGGAAAACTAGCCTTGTGCTTCACTTGGCATCCAATGCTTGAAAAAAATTACCATTCCACTGACCTGTTCCACTCGGGAATCAAATTCGGCTGCTATATCTCCAATGAATGCCAGTGCACCTGGGGTCAAGAGTGTGTTGTAGGCTTCCTCCAAGCCAGTGGGTGGGCAGGATATATGTACCTCCATCACGAGGAATACTTCTCTTTGAAATGATCTAAGACAGAAACAAAATGTTACAGTACTCCATGCTTACATGTAAATCAAGAACTTTAAAAAGAGCCCACCTAATTGGAAGGTATATGTACCTGCACTCCTCACTTTCAAGATACTGTACAACTTAACATGATTCACATCTCCACCATTATACTTTGCTCTTCCATCCTAGAAGATTCACTTGATGGGGCACTTCAAGAAACAGACTCTAACCTTGTTATAAAATGTTGGGCATTTTGTTTTTCATCGGCATAGTGAAGGGAGGGCATGAAAACACAGCCCCATTTTGACAACATTTCATTTCTGGTAAACAAGGGCATGGGACGTCTGTAGGTCTTCCACAACTCGTGATTATTTCCCGCTATAGAACACTTGTGGCCAGTACTTATGCTTGATTCAGATATTTCCCCTAAATCTTTTACACAATCTCAATATCACGAAGATATTTGACTTCAATTCGCCAATTTTGATGATGAAAACCGACAAAAAGGAGAGTCAAACATATACTCAAACTATATCGTTTTCAAACACCAAGGTTTTTAATCACCAGACAGAAAGTCCCTTTAGAACAAAATGTTTAAATTACAAATGACATATGAAATAATTGCAGGGTAACATACATAAGCTACAAATATTTGGTGCTATTTTAAGCAGTAAACTTTGGATAATGAAGTGCACATACATGTACATGTGCATCTTGAAGCCAGTGAAGCCATGAAATTGTTGGCGCCCCAACTGAACAATTACCAGTTGCGTAAGGCAACCTTTTTTGTGGGGGGGGGAGAAACGCTAGGAGGGTCCGCCCTTAGACTAGTACATACAGGAACATGTACAACACATGCATGTACATGTACATTAAGCAAACTTGAAGGCAAACATTAATTTCATGTCATGAACCATTTGGGGCAAAATTACCCAAGTCAAACTTTTTTTAGTTCCGAATTCACAGTGGAAAACATTTGATGTGGCATCACTGACCGGTACTTGACATGTTTAATGTAGATGACACAAATCAGTTTGATAGAAATGTCCCTGAAAGCTCAAAAAGCACAAATTACATGTACATACTCTTTCTACAGAGTCAAATCATGCCACACACATGCAAGACGCAAAACTGCAACTTATCTTTGTCCTTCCATTCATCCACCTGCCACAACCCCAAATGCACACGGTATTTCCTGTTATTGCATTTTGGCAAGTACACAACATCTGCAGAAATCTTCAAGTTTAATTCTGAAGTTTGACATCCTTTATTTATAATAGATATCATTTCATTGAAAAAAATGTCACTTTCAGGGTCAGTGTGTCATTTACATGTTTGTACAACGTGTTTACAAAATGGACTCCAAAACCAAAACCTTTGAGATGAGTGGAAAAAAAGAAAAAAAACATGACTGTAGCACAATCTGTTGAATTTCATGATTGAAAAATTGGAAAGTCAAAATGTTCACATTGTTAATGGTGACACCTGTTTGAAACTGTTCTTGTAAATTCACATCACTGCAAAACTAAGACGTGTTTATACATGTAACACATTAAGATGTCCGCTCATTCAATTAACAGAACAGTTACTGTGTCAAGGAAAATATTTACATAACACACTCAAGAAAATAAACACCAAGTTGAAAAAGACCTACCATAAATATGTAAATATCTACAATTCCTGATTGTGGTGTTATTTCTGAAAATTGAAACTTATTAAAAATCTTCCAAAGAAGGCCCCAAAAAATCAGAATTTAATTAATGCACGTATTGATACACATGGCATGTGTATTACAGAATTTGTACCACTGTTTCTAAACATAATGGTTAATTTTAGTTTCTCTCACTTCACAAAATACATGTACGTGTATGTTGGCATTTAACTAGCAAGTCAGAGAAAAGTCAGAGCCAGTTTTATAAAACAGCTCTACGTGTAGACTACTCAAAAGAAAACGTCATAACTGCAATGATTCCGCACTAACATGCCCATTCTTTGACCTGACATGCTTGTGCATTTGGCAAATCATGACATCGGTTGAAGTGGTTGAAGTGGCCTGAAATGTATGCATACGTACCACTTCTAATTCAAATTCTGGTTGCCAAATTACAAAATACATGCTCACATGTCTCCAATAAACAAACACCCAATAAAGTCATACATTTCAGTCACACTGTATTTTGGGGTCCCAAACTACCACAAGTTGATATGATATGCTTAAACCATTGAACTGCACTAGTCACATCACTAGTACATGAATGTACAATGTATATGTAATTTGACAGAAGATAGTCGTATCATATTCAATTTATATATTTACTATGTGATATATTTACATGTGAAATTGTTTCTGTACAGTTTCAGAGAAAATGCCGTATCAGAACAACTGTGTCTGCTGCGCACAACTTCTTCAATGACCCAAACCCGTAAAAAATTTTGCAAGCACAATGTCTTTTGGATTCAGACCACCAATTATAACATGAGCCTTTCAGAATTATCAGTGTAAAACTACGAGACAGGCCAGTCTAAGCCTCAGTGAACATCAACTTGATGTAACTGACAGCGTCTCCCTCATCTGTCTCCACGGGAACCTCCATGGTTGCCATGGGCGCGTCCACAATCTCCACAAACTGATGCTTCAGCCGTCCGTGACTCCTGAGGGCACTGCGGGATGCAAAGATCTTATCACAGTCGTGGCAGGGGAACCGCTTGTTCTTCCCTTTGTGGATCAGTTCGTGGTCCCGCAGGCCAGTGGTCCGCGTGAAGGCTTTGCCACAGGTTGTGCAGACGTAAGGCTTCAGGCCCAGGTGACACTTCTCATGTCGCAGCATCGCTGAACTGGAGACAAAGGCCTTGCCGCACTTACTGCACTTGTACGGCTTCTCGCCCGTGTGACGTCTCTCATGGTTCTGAAGATCCCTCTTGTCTCGGAAACTTTTGTTACAGTAGGAGCATCCTTTGGTCCCAGCTGAGTGAATTTTGCTGTGTTTCTTGAGGTACTTTTCTTTTTTGAACTTCTTGTCGCACGTGGCGCATGAGTACTTGTAATGCCATTTATCATCCTTGAGGTTTACTCTTTTGATCACGTGCATTCTCTGATGTAATGGCTCCAGCTTGCCCACGTTAGGCTCCTCCCCTGGATGGTTTTTGATGCGATGCCGCCTCAGGCTGCTCCTCGCCAGAAAGACTTTAGAGCAAGATGTGCAAGCAAATGTTTTATCATTGATGTGGGTCCTTTCATGATCGGAGAGGTTGGTGGGCTGTGTGTAGGCCTTTCCACAGGTTTTGCAGACGTACGGTTTCAAGCCCGAGTGGCTGCGTTCGTGCTTGTTGACACCAGCCTTGGAGGTGAATCCTCGTCCACATATGCGGCACAAAAATGGTTTCTCGTTGGTGTGGGTTCTGAAGTGAATCTCGAGGCCCCTCTTGTCACCGTAGGTTTTCCCGCAAACTTCGCATTTCAGGGGATTGATGTGGCATTTCATGTGGGAACGCAGTCGCTTTCTCTCAAAGTACGTTTTTTGACAGTACGTGCAGGCAAAAAGTTTATCCGAAAAGTGACTCTTCTTGTGAATTTGAAGATATCTGGCCCGCTTGAATGCACTACCACAGACAAGACAGACGTGAGGTCTCTTGTCTGAGTGGGAGATCATGTGGTTTCTCAGTTTCAGCCGGGTGCCAAATATTTTGCCGCAGGTTTTGCACTTGTATCCATCTTCACTGGAAGTAATTTGGTCAATGCCAGTGTCTATGGAGGATTTTGCCTCCTTGTAATGGGAACTTCTTTTCTTATGTTTGCCAGACTTGTGCTTTTTCGACTTGTGCTTGCCAGATTTGTGTTTCTCTGATTTGTGAGGCTTGCCACTCGTGGGATGTCCTGACTCCTCCAGTGCTTGGGGGTTCTGCTGAGCCCATGCATTGAAGGTGGTGGCCAAGCCGGTCAATGCTTCCAAGGCCTCAACGGCTGAGGCTATCTCCATCTCCTTTATGGTCTCAACACCTTGTTGGCTGTCCGCTGCATCCTCCGTCGGCTTAGACTCCTGCTCATTTGGCTGCACGAGCAGCACAGACATGTCCTGACTTGAGTCTGCCGGCATGCTGTCTACCAGCTTGACCTCAGTGAGATCACCCGAGGTGGGATGCTGCGTCATGATGATCTGGTGGTGGGGCTTCCCCGCAGCATCTTCCGTTGGGGGGAGGCCCGGCTCAGGCAAGTACGCCATCATGTCACTTGAGACAGTCAGGTGGTGAATGTTGGTTGGCGGGTCGCTCTCAGTGAATGTGACCATCATGTTGGGCTCAATCTGTTCCGTGGTCATGGTCTCGGGCTGCACACCCATATCGTCTCTGCCTTCTGATATCACCTCGATAGGAACAACAGTGGGCTGTTCCTGTGTCTCTTCATCCCCTACCATCGCAAGATGCTGGTCCGCTACATTAGGCTGGTTGGTGCAAGCGTAATCTTCTTCCACCAAGTGGATTTCCACCGTGTATGCTATAGAGGATGGGTTCACAACTGACTCAACTGATGACGGTGTCTCCTGTGTCTCCTGCCCTGGCTCCATGACAACTTGATAGTTTGCTTGCTTTATCAATTATTGTTTCTATCCCAGTCAGCTCTACTCTTTAAAGCTAGGATTCATCTCCAACTGTTTTTACTTGTCGGGGCATATCTGGAAATCAAAAGAAAAAGTACATGTTCGTCAGGGTTGTCAAGCGTCTTCTTTGTTTTTTTTCTTTTTGCTCCCATCCAAATATCAAAGTTTTGTCAGAAAGATTATTTCCCTGTACATGTTCACGTCAACCCACATGGATAGCATATTTTCGCAGCCACAAGAGTGCTTCTAAAATAAAATAATTTGAATACTTGCAAATGATTAAGCAGTTCTTCATTCCAACAATGCATACCGAACACAGTAGCAGTAAACACTTTGACTAGATCAGAAAGGACATCACAGGAAAACCATATTTAATATGAATTTGCACATTTTTCTAGATTGCCAATGTATGGAAAGCGAGTCATTTGACATCAAGAGTGGGGGCATTAGCACCTTTCAATGCAATTGGATTTACAGAACATTGACATGTTCCACATTAAACGTTTGGTTCTAACAAATGGCTAGAATCAAACTCAAACAAAAAGACCCATTTGACAACCCAGTTTTGAACAAGCACATTTTCTTCCCACAGGAAGTTCAGACTTCAACCTGCTACTGGAGTACAGCATGTGTCTGCTGTTTGGTCTGAAACTCACAAAGTTCATTTGGAATGGTGACATAACATGAATGAACCGGGTTTTTTTTTTTTAAATTTCTAAAATTGACTGGGATGAAATTAGTCGTAAGACCAAAGAGGACTCCGGAAAAAGTGTAGAATTACAGGTAATAGTATTCTTGTTATGAAAATTGAGGATGCCATATTTTGGGAAGTTTAAGCCAATTTTGAAGTTATTCATGTACACCCAGGATTAAAAACTAACATAGAATTTAGAAAATTCTATTTTCTAATTGTGTTTGGACACACCTTTCTGCAGTTGGTCTTGACAAACCTTATAAATGCATTTTGAAGCACCTGCCAAATCATTTTTCATGAGACCTGGCCTTCATGAAAACCATTTTTCATCAGAGGGGAAATGGGAAATTCCTTTTCCCAAATGCATACACAAATAACTCTTTTTCTGTTTATGACAACTGTTCACTCAGATCACAAACAGACGTAGGCCTAAATTACAAAACTTCCTGATATCTTTAACTTGTGTGGGTCTTTTCAAAACTGAATGAAATTCAACATAAGTAGGCCATAAGTTAAACTACTCCAATAATGGAGGACATTAATTGTGAAACTACATTTTTGCAGTTGTTCCAAAGTTATCCAATGAGCAGCAATCTCCAGAAAGAGTTCCATGTTGTGGACAACAGTTGATGCCCCTGTGCACAAACTACCTAGAAGTAGTACAGTAGGCGTTATTATCTTATGAAACTTGTCTGGATAAAAAAACAAGGCCTAACTAGGGTTATCTGATGTTTCGAAATTTTCTCAGGCCTTGCTAAACTTTCACTTTTTAGGACATATTATCACTTTCTGATGGCTGTTATGGATCTCTTTCCCGGGCGACCTTGGTTTCGTCTAAAAACAAATGTTGCCTGTCATTATGTAAGGTGTTATTGGAATTGGAGATGAATGGAAAAAGAAGTGGACTAGCAGAAGTCAAAGAAATGAAGCAGACGATAACCAAGAGCAGAAGACGCAAACTAAGCCGTTCACCAGTCTTGAACTGGTTCAAAAACACGGGACAAAGCGCCCATCCAGGAGAGGCGGGAAAGAGACTCGCGACTTCCGAGGTCCCCCAAGTGTTTAGACGAACATTTCTGTGGTACTTACCAGTGCTACACATTCAAGATCAACTGTATGTAAGCGTAAATGTAAGATTTGGTGGTATTTTAGGTAAAAAGGCTGGATCGTCAGTGTGGTCTCGTCAACCGCTGTGTTGAAAATTCGGCCATCTTACGCCAGAGGTGGATTTCGGGCTCGGAAGGTAGACGCTAGTGCGTCATTTTCGCTGGTTATCCTCATACAAATATGAACATTTTTTTAAGCCAAGGTACCAGTTAAGCTGTTGACAATTTGAAAGCCAAAGAGGGCGCTATGCAATTTTTCCGGCGCTTTTCTCAGAAGTGTCGGAAGTGGTCGGAACTGGTGATGCTAACGTTTCGGTTTTAATTGCAGGCGAGGTCAAGGACATCAGATTTCTGAAGGGACTGAAGTTAAAGATGGAGCTCACTGCTAACGGAAAAAAAACTGGTTTTGAAAACGGGACTAGGCTACAACTACGATCATAGAGCAAGGAAACCCCTTGCTTGTCCCAGTTTTATAATGCTTGGACAAGTCTAAGTAACTCCTTCAGTGGGCTTTACGTCCCGTAGTTTGCATCCGTATTACCCCAATGCGTATCTACGTCTACATCATAATTTTTGGTCCTTTCGGATACAAGGGATCGTACAAACCATAGAGTTGTGCCTAGCTCTGTGCACAAACAGTATGGATTGCAAAGAAGAGCGGATTCAAAACCAGAATTTGGGAGGGGGGAGGGGAATAAACTTTTTAGGGGGACGAAAAAAGGAAACGTATTTTTTCCTGTAACCTTTTGCCTTTCTAGAGAGTGAGGCTATATTTTTGAGCTTATCTACACAGTCTGGGAGAAAATGAAAAAGACAAAAAATTAAAAAATTGTCATTCATTATATTACACATGTAGTTTTATTTCAAACAAAGTCCGGCGAGGTCGAATTCAGTCCAAAAACGCTCTTTTTGGGGGGTCGGGTCTCTACACGCATCTACAATTGGATACAACCTATATGCATTACATGAACTACACCTACAGATAATTGTATCTTTTTCCTCAGTCATCCGTACAATTAATTTTTGAAAGACTTAGATTCAGGTGTTAATTTACAGAAACGGTAATAATCTGGAACCTTACAAATCACATTCAAGGAATGAAGCAGTCCTATAGCGCCCTCTTGCCTAATAAGGAAATCAAAAGTTGGGCTGTTCAACTGCGCTTGCGCTCTTTGCCTTCCATCCTATGGTCGAACCACGCGGTGATACACGGAATCCATCGAGAAATAGCCCAGAATTTACTGCATTTGTTGCTGATATTGGGCTTATGTCCCGGACGGAATCATGCCATCTGCTAATCCACTACCTCCGAAGGAAAACACTCTGTTTAAGAGAGTTTTAGTAAGTATTTTCCCTGTTATTTATGTGATGCGAGTCGATGAAGTGCTCAATTTCATATGACGTTCGCAATGCTTTTCAATTGACCCGGTCGCTATGATGCCCTTAATAAAACCGTGTATTTTCGACACAATCGTAGCCTGTCTATTCATCACGTTCCCCAGTTAGCACGTTCCCCAGTTAGCCTACACAGGGTAGGCCTACATGTAACTTATCCTTAGTTCCTTCCTAATATCGCTTTTGTTTTGCCTTTCGAAATGTTTACCATCTTTTGTCATTGTTTGTTTGTCGGCTTTGGTGAGTAGGCTAGGCATGGCAGACCTCTATCCCAGATGTTTCACATGGAATTGGAAATCAAGCCTGGGATGAGGGGAGAGATAAAACAAGACATGCTAGGCCTACTTGCTAGTAGAACTTAAGTAGAGAGGCCTGGGGCTAGGCTAGCTCAGGTTGGACGTCATCCACAGTGCATTGCAACCAACGTTCAGGATTTAAATTCATCCTGCAGTGTGAAATTTTTTTTTCAACTTATTTTTTCTCACATCTTTACCTGGTAAAGACAGCTTGAATGTCGTTCACAGGTAAAAATGTGAGAAAGAAACGTTGAAAAAAAACTTGCACTGAAGGAAGACTTTTATACCCTGGTCATCAGTCATAGAGCAAATGAAGACAACGTCCAACCTGGGCTAGAGCTAGGCCCACATTGTCATGATTCATTGATTGTGCACAGCTACATTTAAGCACGATGTGAAGAAACCTTTTGTACATATGCTATGCATACAAGTGTTTGGATGATAAGCCATGCATTTTTTTGCATAAATCTTTGGAGGAAATGAACTAGTCAGAAATCATACTAACATTTTCTTCAGAATGTTTCTGAAGTCGACCCTACCTGCTCAAGTAACGTCACAGATGCATGTGTAACTTTGACTTAGTATAGCCTCCAAGAAACATTTTCAAAGCCAATAAATGTTCACAAATTTGTAAAAAGAGCAAATTTACCTTAAATTGTTTTTTTCAAGGGCCGCTGACAGCAAGTCCTTACTCATGATTTTTTGGGGTGCCATTTTAGATCCTGAGATGTTCTACATTTGACCAGTTGGTGACTTAAACATTAGTAAAATATTTAACAAGAAAAGGGAAATGGGATACATGTACATCACTACAAATTGCACTGATCAGCAGTCACTGTAAGAGTCCGTGCTTTATTGACATCTGACAAATGTTCTGCAGAATTTCGAATGGCTTTGATTTGGGCCCCTTGCAAGCTACATAACTCACAGTAAAAGACGAAGTCTTCCGACTGATTCTGTTCTTTCATCCATGGCATATCTGTCTTCCATTTTTCAACGGTACATTTGGACGGTGCTTTTGGCATTTTTGTTGCGCATTGATCACCACGAAATGATAGAAGTTAACATGCTTATGTACGTGCAAAGGTATCGTGATTGGGGTGTATGTACCTACGTGTAGTTCATGGCGCCACTTACTGCGCATTGAATGTACATGTGTGCACTCGTACCATACTGTACCGAACTACACGTGCTATATAATCCCACCAAATCACAGCAACCTCGTTCCTCCACGATCCATGGGCCTCGTGCTGTGTGAAACTAGGACAAGAAACTGGGGGCAAGTTTTGTTTTGTTGAACATTTTGTTTTTGCTGTGAAGCCACGAGTGCTCTGCGCAGGACTGGGGCCAGTTTCTAACCTCGCCGCGTGCGCAATGGCTGATGGGGGCGGGTTGTATGGCTGTTGTTATGTATGATTTTAAAACAAATTCCCATTTTTCAAAAATTGCAGATCAGTTTCTTGTTTGTCTCGCTTTTTTGTGCCAAACGTATCGCATTTTGCGATGCGAATTCAGCTATTTCCATCACTGCATGCACACATGTATGATGCACTCAGCTTTAACCTGTTGTGTAAGTATTGGAGAAGGATGTGCGCTGAGTGTCCATGTGCGCAGTGTGTCCATGTGTGCCGTGGGTGGGGCTTACTGTATCGGTGTATGAACAGAACATAGAAAACCTTTAAATGAATCAGAGTGGCATGTTTTTAAAGAATGTTGTAATGTACATACGGCATGCAAATGATCATTCTTAAAGTTGGAACTACAAAGTACAGTGGTTTGATTAATTAACCCTCCTATGCTGAAGTCGCTCTTTGGGTCACTTGGTGAACACCTCAAAGAAGCATAGCTGTGTTGTGTTGTGCACTGTGCCCACTGTCCCTCACAGGAATATCAGATTGCACTGTTGTGCTGTTCAAGTTCAACAACTGTGCCTCGCTGCTGTTTCATGTGCATAATTGTGCAGTAAACCAAATGCAGTTCACAAAAGACCCTGTGTCATTTTGTGCTGGCAAGCAACTGTGTACACATTGAACCTGTGCATGTTTGTGTTCCATATAGAAAGCACATGCAAGAGAGTGACTTGGGGCACTTGTGCATATTTTTCTGTTAAACTAAAAGAGGGTTAAATTTGAAAGTGCAGCATTAGTGTTTGAATTGCAACAGCACATGTAGTTCATTATATTCAAAGTTAACTTTCAGTACGTTGTGCATATTCAAAGCAGTACTTGCTTCTACCTGCGCGCTGTTGATGGTGCGTACACAAATATGTAACACCACACCTTCTGGATGAGTCCACACAATCAGTGTTCCAAACTGGCCTGTCCAACCTTGTGGATGGTATTAGAACCCTGGAATGTCACGGTTGTGGGTTAGGGTCTAAGAAGATGCTCAGCAAATAACCCTCATTGAGACAAGCCTTCAGCAGATTGGTTTTGTTACGGGGATATAAAACTGGTACCAATTTGCTGTCTGACTTTGCAGAAATGCTATGAGCAGAAACTGTACAAAAATGGACTGAAGTTTGCCAAGCAGATTCTGACGAACCCAAAGTTTGCTGAACATGGAGGTAAATATCGTAAACATCCTTTGATCAGTTTACACTCGCATGCATATTTCAGATAAAGAAGTGCTCTACTATACCCTTTGTGCCAAAAAGGATGATGTGTTCACTTTCAGTGGCGTTCATGAACATCTTTCTGGTGACATTTCTCAGAGTCGTTGATGTTTCTGAAGTTGAACGGGGTATCAGTTTACATCCTTTTGATGACTTTTAGTCAGGACGTTGTCTAACTACAAAGCTCCAATCACATCAACCTGTTTGATTCTGAAAAGGCATTGTAATATGCAGATGAGATTTGTAGGCCTTTTCGTCACGGTTTACTCTCAGCTTCGTTTGAAGAAAACAAGACTAGAGAGCAATTGAAATACGATAGACTTCTGTACGTATATGTCTGGCTATTCAATGTACATGTATATCATAAGTCCCACAAGCGGTATTACTTTTCCCACTTGACTTTTCCATGCAGAAACACAGTCAATGAAGGGTTTGATCCTGAACTGTCTGGGCAAGAAGGAGGAAGCATATGACCTGGTCAGGAGAGGCTTGCGTAATGACCTCAAGAGTCATGTCTGTATCCATTCACAGGTTCATTCTTCCTTGACAGTTGGGTTATTTTCGAGTCATTTGAATTGATTCCAGTTAATGGGCTTGTGTTCTTGCGTGAGTGGTGCGTGGATAACGGGGATTCACCCCAAAATCCCCAGGCAACATCCATCCAAGTGCATCCATTAGAAAAAATTGGACATAGTTTCAATCCTCCAGAGTCCTGAATTATTTCTTGAATGACACTCTGTGTGTGACTGTTGCCTTACCATGTGCATAGAGGATTTGGGAAGGTTAGGGTAAATGACTTTTGAATATGTTGGTTGGGTTCAACGCGAGGCTATTGTTACATGTAAATACCAACCCTGGTGCTAAAATTAATTGGTACCCCAAATCCCGCATTTGAAGTGCTGGACTCAAGCCCCTCACCGTTTGCATTTTGTTGAATGCTCTCTCAGTTCTTTACCAAAAGCCTTGTTGACACCAAATTGAATTTGAAGGGTTCTGACAGTACAAATGACATTATTCAAGATCTGTTTGGTGTGTCAGTATTTGAACAATACCATAGTTGCCATAGTGGTTTCCTTAACTAAGCTTCCCATTAGGCTGGCACGTGTATGGACTGCTCCAGAGGTCAGACAGAAAGTACGATGAAGCCATCAAATGCTATAGGAATGCTCTCAAATGGGACAAGGTGAGAAGACTCAGTTCTCAAAGAGTTATTTTGGGCAAGAAGTGATTCTTCTTTATGAAAGTTTTTTCGACGTACGTCAGAGCACTACACCTCACACTAAGAAAATGGGCGGGTGAAAAGTTTCATTCCTTCATTCACTTAGGAATATATTTTGTCAAAAGTAGCTTCAGAATTCAGATGACTTTAAAACAGCTTTTCTCTTTCGTATTTATTGGAAGAAGAGGGTACTTGTTTCAAAAGTTGTTCCACATTAAATTAGTCAGTTTGCCAAATCATTTGAAAAGCTCCCAGATCATGGAGACAAGTCAGTCTCTTTTTTTTATGTCATCAGGACAACCTGCAGATTCTACGAGATCTGTCATTGCTGCAAATCCAGATGCGAGATCTAGAGGGTTATCGGGTAAGTATGATATTGGAGCAAGTCTGTTTCAATAATCATTGGTTGAAAGAAGGTCATGTATGTATGTATTATTTTTCTTTAACCCAAAACATCCCAACTTCATCATTGTAGACCTAGGTTATCTAAAAACCTTTTGTCTTGAAGGAGTCGTTTCCTTGCATGGAAAGGTTGAATCGTTTTGTCGCATACAGTAAGGTAACCAGAGATAGATTTGAAACATAATTCAGTCACATCTGGTTTTACATGCTGCCTGTTACCCCCATTGTTTTAGGTACAAAGCGAATGCCACTGAGTCACTGTTCAGTGTGTGCTTGGGACAAAAGAAATCAATGGACAAAAACGGTCTAGAACAATCAGGCTACCTAGAGTGAGCAAGAGGAAGTTACCTGTTGTTGCCTCTGCCTGTGGGCATTGGTTGGGCATCCCCCGTGATCATGAATCATGGGCTTGAAATCCTGCAGAATACAGCTGTGCTTTGCTTTTTGCCCTCGTGCTTGGAGTTTGGGGCTCACCACATCTTTTTCAGCTCAAATCAGACCAGTTGTTTGAATCAAGAACTGAGTAATTCAACATGAACCCAAACAAACCTCAATCCTGCAGTGGTTGGACGACTGAGGACTGTTAGGTGGTCCACAAGATTTTGAACATCCATCTTAAATACCTGTGTTTTTTTCTTTGTAGTAAACTAGTTTGTCCATATCTAAGTTCATTTGTTGTTTATGTCTGGTCAGATTTTTATTATGTTTTGTGTTCAGATGATTTTTATCATACCGGACTTCTTCCTTCAAAGCATAATCTCCTTTGAGCACCGTTCCAAGCACTTATGATCCCTAACTCCAGAGGTACCTATATGCTAGAGACCTTCCTAAATCCTCCAACATGCTTCCTATTGAAAGCAGTAGTGTCTGGACACCATCCTCCTTGGTAAGCATCCCTCCAATCGTGGATGCTCTTTTGCCTCCTGTGTAGGACACAAGGTATCAGCTGCTCCTCCTCCGACCAGCCCAGCGAGCGTCATGGATTGGCTACGCCATGGCCTACCACCTCCTCAAGGAGTATGACATGGCACTCAGGATACTGGAGGAATTCAGGAACACGCAACAGGTAAGATAATGGTCTTTCCAACTCCTTGGTAGTGTCTTGCAATATAGCGAAAAAGAGAGCTCAGCGAAACCGTATATTTTTGATTTTGTAAAACAGGCTTCATTGAGTGGAAAGTGGAAACAGAAAGGGATTGTTTTGTGCCAGTATCTTTGCCATGTATCATTTTACATGCCAGGTCATTATATATTTTCTCCTCGTTTTTATCTTGTGCTTGTTACAACACCAATGTCAAATTTTACTACGTTTTCGATGACTGTTCATAGGGAAATGTGGTCATTCACAAACAGGGAGTGTGAGCCATTCATTTCAAACACGAGCAGTTTAGTAGGGCTTGACACTTGTAACTTCAGTTGTAAGAAGGGAGGGAACGATAGTTTGGCTCTCTGTGAAGGACTAAAAAGTTGGGCCGCCTGATTATCAGCGGAGCTTGAAAGTTTTTTTATGCCTTGTGTCAGCAGCAGGTGAAGCCGTATGATTACGAGCACAGCGAGTTTCTGCTGTACCAGAACCAGGTCTTCAGAGAGGCGGGTGAGCATGAGAAGGCGCTGCATCACCTGGACAAATACGAGAACCAGATCTGCGACCAGATATCAATACTGGAAACAAGAGGTGGGCAACATCACTGGGAATATTGCATGTGGTTTCCCCTTTGAAGCGCTGTGTGTACCCTCAAAGCGTTGCTTGCCTCCTATGAAAGCTTGGCCATAAACACCAACACATCTGCACTAGTAAGAGGAGGTTGTAGATTTGAAACCCCACTGGAGCAAGCTTGCACTTTTCCCCCTCTTCTCAGAAAGCAGTGAGCATACAGATACATGATAAGTTATGTAGATTAATTCAAAGGGATGCCCTAACTGCGATAACTCCACAATCATGTCCATATTACAGTCTTAACATGAGCCGCTTGTTGTGATTGGTAGGTTCAAGTTGTAAATATCCTGTTAAAGAGGCATGAGACAGTGTGTACCACTTGCATCTGAGAGTGACATCAGTGCAGTGACAGTTTCCAATTCTGGTCACAAGACTAGTCTTTACTATAAACCTTTGTTTGTCTCAGGCAAAAGAAAAAACCATTATTTAGGAGTGAACGAAAGCATGATGAAAATTGACATTCTCACAAAATGTTCTGATGATTTTGATGCAAAAATTGTTATACAAGACACGGCATGCTTCGTGTCGTGTTTAAATGTCACAAATGTAAACTTTGCTCCATTCTTGTTCTTGTTTTGTTTCAATGGTGCTTTCAGCTTTTTTGCGCCAATAACTATATGTTTATTCATAACCTTTATCAATCAGCATCACATTACAGAGTTGGGGAGAAGGTCCAGTTTTAGAGGCAGGAGGAAACCGGAGTACCCGGACAAAACCTGCGAGAGTGAAACTGAAAACCAAATGCACCTAAAGCCTGGGCCAAGCCAGGATTCAAACCCGGGCCTCATTGGTGCAAAGCGAGGAAAGAACGGCTATGCTAACCCACTCCCCCCCCCCCATGCTTACTTGTACAATCCACTCACCTTTATCTTGCCCCCTCCAGCGGAGTTACTGTTGCAGCTAGGCCGGGCCTCAGAAGCCATCACCCTATATGAAGAGCTCCTGGACAGGAACCCAGAGAGTTGGAGCTACTACGAAGGGCTGGAGAAGTGTAAGAACCCGGCCAATGAGGTGGAAAGACTCCAGATATATACCCGGGTTGCTGATAAGTTCCCCAGGGCTGCAGTGCCCAGACGGAAGCCTCTTAACTTCACAACAGGTAAGCCTTTACCTGCATTTAAAAGATTTCCAGAACAGACTAATCCCAGAGCCCATGTAAATTCTCATCCCAAGCAACACAAATGCTCATAATTGTGAGAATAAACTGTTTCATGACCAGAAGGTAATGTAATACGGGCCGGCCAAGTCTTAATTGCTTCCTTGTTTCTGAGGCTTAAATGCACAATCACTGCTTAATTTCAAAACAATTTTAACCTTTCAACTGTCGGAGTATGCCCTACTTATAAGCTGCACAACTTTTCAGGTTTGAAATTGACATTTCTGATGTGTGTAATCATTACAAACCATAATACATCTGTGACTGTTGACTTGGTACAAACTAAGTTTTTGAAACAGGGCAGTGGTGCCAATTCTAAGTAGAGCTTTCTTCCCGCCTAGGTGAGAGATTTGAGAAGCTCTTGGACGACTACCTCCGACGGATGCTAAGGAAAGGAGTGCCTACCGCCTTTGTCAGCATCAAGGGCCTGTACAGAGAACCCTGGAAGGTTGAAGTCATCGAGAGACTTGTCTTGAGCTACTTGGAGTGCCTGCAGAGTAAATCCAAATTCAGCAAAGGTCAGTCGGGTGTTTCTAATTGACAAGCATCGCTGTGCGGTTGCAGTGGTTTGAGATTCAGAATGTACCGGATAAGGATATGTGTCAACAGAGAAATTAACTGGAGGTGAGGGATGAACCTGTGACTTCTGGTACACTGTGCCACTGCTCTACCAACTGAGCTACTCAGCCCTGTACATAGGTTCCTCCTATTTGTCAATATCTTTGTTTATCTTGTTTGTTATTACATAAGCTGCTGGTCAGTTTCTCTCTGTGATTCATTTTACGATGGGTAAGAATACTCATCTCACCACTGCTTGCTGTTTTCTGGGCAGCTGGTCAAGTGTAAGGATATAGAGTCTGAGGCGCGCAGCGTTTTGTATTAACCCTCTCTTTCTGCCGCTGTCGAGGACACCGCTACACAGAGTCATCGTGGTCGAATCCAAAGGAGAATATTTGAGCTCGGCATGGAACCCTCCCCTGTCAAATGCCCACTTTCCTGATAGAAATACGGCTTCCTGTTCATGACATTTCACACTTCATCAACCTTGCCTCGCTCCATTTTCGTTCTCTAACAGATGCCACGGATGGCGAGTTAGAAACTCCCACCGTGCTGCTGTGGACGTTATACTTCCTGGCCCAGCACTATGATCAGCTGCGGAACGTAGAGAAGGCCTTGCAGTATGTGGACAGGGCCGTGGAGCATACACCAACACTCATTGAACTCTTCATTATCAAAGCAAAAATATTCAAGGTAGTACAATGGAAGCATAACCTACTGTTATGTCTTGGTTAATAAACATGCATGTAGCCCTCTTAGGGACCAATCACATGACCAGTCACAAGACTAATCACATGACCAATCACAAGACCAGCCACAAGACCAATCACATGACCAGCCACAAGACCAATCACATGACCAGTCACAAGGCCAATCACAAGACCAGTCACAAGACCAGCCATAAAACCAGTCACAAGACAAGACACGAGACCAGACACAAGACCAGTCAAAAATAACAATGTGAGCAGTGACAAAGGAATCTTTATTTTTTCATTTCATTTTAGTAGCTTGACAGGAATTTAAACTAGAGGTCTTTTGGTTGGCCTGTGATGGCCTTGTGATGATCCTAATATATCATTATTACCACTGTGCTCTGTGTTAACCATGCTCTCTTGGAGGTCATTTAGTTCACAGGCAGATACTGAAGCATTTTGAAGAATGCCTCAAAGCAAAGAGCTAAATGAATGGGTCTAAGCCGATGAGCCTGTGATTTTTGCATTGCAGCATGCGGGTGACATCAAGAAGGCAGTGGAATGCCTAGACGAGGCCCAGTCCCTGGACACGGCCGATAGGTTCATCAACTGCAAATGTGCAAAGTACATGCTCAGGGCCAACCAGGTCAAGCAGGCCGAGGACATGTGTGCCAAGTTCACAAGGGTGAGGAAGACGGAATTGGTTTCTCTACGCCTAATTTATATGCTTGTTACAATCCATTAATCAGTCATTATATATCACCATAAGGAAATGTGGACTATCATAGTTGGCTTTTACGAAACTAAGAAATGGACTTTTTCAGGCACTAAATATCTGAACTTGTTGTCAACAGACCTGCAGTTGTGACTAAAACATCAGCCATTACAATATGTATTTCCATATTAACCACTTCCTGCCGGGGACTCTAGAATCGGAGACGTATGGGTCTCTGAACTCGGA